GCCTTAGGCGATAGAAAAAAATTGCTTTAATTAATTTCATGTTGGATCATGGAGATTTATTTACATTCAAATGAAATAGACATTTCTTTTGAAAGTCTTTTCGCTTGCAAATATTCAATTTTTTATTAATCTCATTAGCTTTATATTAAAAGATAATTTGCTTGCTTAAGGCAAATCCGACATGAAATTAATTAAAGCTATATTATAAAGCTAATTATTTTTGAAAGGGTCTTGAAAGGCTTTAAATTACATTTTGCAGTCCTTTTTTTCGAATTCTTTTTTTAAATTAATATTAAAACTATATATTGATTAAAAAAGAAAGAGCATTTTGAGATATTTCTTTTTAATTAAATTCGAAAAATTCTAATTTCGAAATTTCGAAATCTTCAAATTGAACTGAGGATTTCTGTAGTTAATTTCTGTAGTTAATTTGTTTCATATAAAAAATAAATAATAAATTAAAATGAATGATAAAAACTAAGGTATTTATTTCATTGTAAATTTAGAATATATTATTTTGGAGATATTTAAAATAATGTAATTTTACAAATATTTTGAAAAATAGTTTAAAAAAATTTTTTTTTATATTTGACAATGAATATTCGATAAACGCTTCTAAATAACATAAATCTGCTAGTTAGACCTGTATTGATGAAAATAGGCTATAGTGGGATTATTTACCTTAAATAAGGAAGTCTAGGTGGAGGTCCGTCACCGATTTCTTTCAAAATTCAATCCATGCGTGCATGCTTAAAAATAAAAATTCTGATAATAAAATTAAGATAAAATTAAAAATAAAAAAATTTTTTGCGAAACTCGTTTTATATCGCAATATCTTGACAGGCACAAATCTATCATTAAAAACATGAAAACTACTTAGAATCCATCCTACGATTCCTCGATTCTTTCCCGATCTTGGCGATCACTGAAGATTACGTTTCTCAGACTATGCATGAACTATAAAGATTAGGTTTCTCATGGAGAACTCAAAATAAACCAACTATGCATGAACTATAGCATATAAACGAGTTTAACATGGCCGATTACATGGCTTAAATTATTCCCGATTTGTCGGAACCGTTTGGAGCAAAACTATCGCTGAAAAAACCGCTGTCACCTTATTTTTCAGTAAGTCGCCGACAAAAGTCTCTCATCCAAATGGTTACAAATGTGCGAATGCGAATTACTTATTGGCTTACTTATAAAAAGATAAAAAAGCCATACCTCATGATTATTTCTTTTATTTAGAAAAAATTTTTAATTAAATATTTTTTATTAAGGAATAAAATAATTTTTTGTAACGAAATCAATAAAAAGAAAATGGAAAACGTATGAATGAAAACAAATAAAAATCAGTGCAAATACATTGAAAATAATTTAACAATCATTTAGTTTTTCGAAAAATATTTATCAGTTCTTCTTGCGGCTGCTTCCACTGGTTTATAGGAGTAGAAAAAGACTTCACGGATGAAACTTGCCAAGGATGAGGATAAGGACACAAGAAGCACAAGTATGTCAGGCGTATAGGTGAGCAACAAGCTTGTAGTTCTATGTGGAGTAGAACCCTGACAAGAGCGCTTTGAAATGAGAGCAATAATCCACTGAGCCATTCCACTCCATTGCCATCAATGGCCGTAAGATAGGAATAAACTACAAATACATAATAAAAGTTTGTATGAACCATTACTCGTCAATTTGTCTTACTCATTTTGGTTGACTCAGTTGACTATTAGGAGTGCGTAACCATATTCTCGCCGGATAATCACTTGGCTTCTATTAAGATTAGCTTCGTTGGCTTGTTGGACTAAACAAATATGCTAAGGAGTTCCTTGGCGATAAAAGTACAACTGAATCGCCAGCATTATCCGGATTTTTGGACAGATTTAGAGTGGACCTCAGTATCGGCACTCCGAATTGAGCAACAACCCACTCAGCCATTCTATTCTCCTTTGCTCTATCTCCGTTAGGCGACACTTTCGACCAACAAAGTATAAGATACATCGGCGGATTCGAATTCAAGCCTCGATTCTTGGTGACAGTTATCTTGCCATGGAACTCAAAAATAGAAATTAAAGTGAACTGCTAGTATTAATGATTATAATGCCATTTATTCGAGAGATAAAGAAGCCATAGAAGACAAAGGAATGATATTATTCAGCTGCGTGGTTGACTCCTCTGAAGTTGTGGAAATATTTCGTCGTCACCATTCACCATTGTGGTCCATGGAAATAAAATGGTTCACGCTTTTACAGGATAAGATGTAAGAAATATAATCGTGAAAATAACTAATAATTACTTGAATGAAACAAATGATGCATGCGTGCATACCAATCAAATGAATAAAACTAATAATTTAAGCCAATAACAAAACCAAATTTCTTTATTATTTTCATTTATTAATTATTTATTATTCGCGAGAAAATTTATAATAATTACTATTTTCATTTCTTAGGCGATATTCATTGTTTAAATTCAATGAATTTGCATTCTTTTTAAAAGCAACTAGTAAGCAAAAGGATTGTTAATGGTCTAACTAGGTTGGTTCCATTGGCTATTAATAAGTTTAGCAATTTTTAACCTCGTTTGCCAGGAGGATTTTACTCATATTAGTGGTTACTTATAATTCTGAAACTCATTTATTCCAGTGTGAGCTCCGTTGATATATGGAAACATTGAAAAACAAATCTTTATGAATAATAAATTTTTTCCTTTAAATTTCAAATAATTTATTTTTATTTAACAAAAACAAAAAGTTTATTTTTATAACTACTAAGTATGAAATTGTACGATGAATAGCAATTAAATAAGCTAATGGTACTCGTTTAATTTTTCCAATAACTTAATTAAATAATTATTTAATTTTTCAATTTTGTAGAGTTCATTTAAGCGATTTTCAATTTTTCGAAAAATTAATCATAAATTGAATTTTTTTCAGCACTTTTGTTGATGAAATTTTTTTCAAACAAAAAATTTCTTTACCAATTATCAATGATTATTTTTATTCATTATCAATTATCAGTAGACTAGAGTTTCAGCGATTTTTATTGCTCATTTTTATTTGCAATTATCATATAAAATAAGATTTTCAATAAGATGAATGAATTTTTTAAATAACTACTTCACTTCACTTTGAAATATTAAGAGATAAGAGTGAGTAAAAAATAAATTATCTGAAATTTAATGGAACACTTTTATTAATCATTGAGAATTATGTTTCAATATATCAGTGGTGCACAATCATAAAATATATTTCCATTAATATTATTTGTTTTACTTATTGGAATAGAATGAACCAGGTTGTTGCGGTTCGATTCCCCGCAGGAGCAAAACTGTACAAAAATCCGGACGATTTACCTGTACTTCTATCGCCAAGGGACTCCTTGGCATATTGTATAGAGTCGATCTCATTGTGGCCTTGCTTATTGCGCAGAACCGATGTTATGGCCTTACTTATGGCGCAGAGCCGATGTTATGGCTTTACTCAGCAGTAAACTTGTCTTGTCTTCCAAAAATCCGAGTTTTGTTGGCGTTCCACCTGGATTTTTATCAACGTGTAGTAAATTTTTTAGTTCTGATAAGGCAGTGGAGCAATTCAAACTAATAAATAGTGAAAAAATTTCTTTTGAAGAAAAAAAAAATTTATTTTAATCAATTCTATCTGATTAAATTCGAATGTAATGAGTTCCAATAGATTGAAATTAAAAATCTATTAGCGAAACTGAATAGACATTCATTTGTTAATTAAACTATTATCCACTGCTGAAATATTATAGGATTGAAGAATTCGATTATTCTTCAAATGAACGCTTCATTTTATCAAAACTATTGATATGATGTCGGTGATAAATACGAGTAAAATAAAGATCTGCGATAAATAATAATAAGAACAATTAGGAAATGATAAATGAACACCTATAATCACAGTTTTCGTTATCTTTTCAAATATAAGACTATTGATATAAGCTTGATAAGATTGTTTTCCTTTATCAAATTTTAGTTGTATCATCGTTAGTTTCATTCGTCCGAATTGAATTATTGAATTTTACGAATTTCTTAAAAATCATCTAATTTAAAATAATTTAAATTTTGAAAAATATTATGGAGCGGTTGATTTCTACAATTTTTAAAATATGTATAAATAAACGAGGTAGTTTTTTTTATAAGCAAAAATTTGCTAATGGATTTTTAATGAAAATTTCAAGATTTCATCTAAATTAATAAGAAAATGTAGAAATTCTGGAAACCTTTTTGCAAATATCTTCCATAAAAAAAAACTAAATCTACGCCATTCTTGTCTTAAAGAATTCATTCAAAATGCACGACTTTATTAAGTAAGTTGTTATTCTGGTTGCGGAGCGCCGACGCTGAGATCTCAGTAATAATTTCAGGCAACAGTAAGCCTTTTCTATTAAAATCCATGTGATATGCTAGCGACTCATTTATTTCACGAAAAAATGATTTATTCCATGATAAATTTGTCCGATCCCGACAAATCTTAGTGAAGCGCGTTTAGCCAATTATGGTGAGCGCCTTCAGAAAACGAATGCCGTTCCACAACGCATCGATAAGTCTAAAATGGTTGTTTTGGTAACAAATCAGCTTAAATCAGTGGGAAAACCAAAAAATAAAAATCGGTCAAAATATTTAGTAATAAGAAATGTAGCAAATTTAAAATACATCCGTTCAAAAAAAAAGATTAATCGAAAAATAAAATTTATCGAATAGAAAAAAATCCGAGACAAATCACAATTACCAATTTCAATAATAAAATCCTCAAATTTGAAATAAGGAAATTGATTTACAAAAAAAATTCATTAAATGAAATTTTTTTGAATAAAAATTCAAAAATTAAAAAAATTGTAATTGAAAATGATTTTAAGCAACTGATTCAACGAAGACAACAAGCATTGCAAAAGAATTTAGTAATCGAACCCAATTGAGCAGTTTGAAACCTGGAAAAAGGTAGATCTAAGGAGTACCAATCTCGAGAACTTTACCCCATGGACCTGCATAAGACCAGTGGATCTTCAAAAAAAGCAAATTAGATTTTCAAAATTGAAAAATTTTAAAATCAGTAATTTCAAGAAAAAAAATTCAGTCTGGTCGTTTCGCGTTTGCATAATTTCTCAACTAAAATGATTTTTCAAAAGCAATTAAATTTGATAAAATCCATTCCAAATTGATTTATAGAAAATTATTGAAGCTATAAAAAAGAAAAAAAATTGTAATTTTATTGTAAAGAGATGAAGGAAATTTCATTAATTTTTGTGATTTTAAAATTCAAAACAAAATTTTTGAAAAAATTTAGAATTTTTAAAAAAAAGATCTATGATCACTGAAATTGAAATTATTTTTTATTATTTTAAAATAAATATAATTTTAGGAAAAAAAATAGATTTCTTGAATATGTATATATGAAAAATAAAAATTACAAAAAGTTTTTAGAATAGGTAAATGGAGAATAATAAATAAAATAGGTGAAGGAGGTTTCGGACAAGTATATCGCGTACAAAATATCCATAAACCGTATAAATTTGGTGCATTAAAAATTGAACCGAATAATCAACTTGGTGAATCGACTATTAAATTAGAAGTAAATTATTTTTTTTAGTGATAAATTTATTATTTTTATTATTAAAAAGTATCAAAATTTAATATAAAATATATTTAAATATAAAATAAATTAATAGAAAATGTAAAATATAAGATTAATATGAAAAATGTCTAAAAATCCCTTTCTATCCTCAGCTATTAAGCCATATCTAATTTGGTTGATTCGACAGATTCTACAGCTTATAAAGGTATATAGGCACAAATTGTGTCCCCATCATCATCGGGGCCAAATTTTAGGCTTTTTGTTCTATCAAGAGCGTGAGAATAGAAAACCCCAATGATTAGGGGAAAGACTGCTTGCATAATGAACCAAAAACTAGTCGACTTGTTAATTCCATAAAACAATATAGGTCCAATTTTATCACAATTAGGAATAAATCTAGCAATCTAAAAGTGAAATTTAAATGACTATTAGAGATTTATCTCCATTCTTAATGATTCTCCATATTTCTTATCAATGTTAATGTTAATCAATGTTAATAGGCCGAAAATGAAAAAAAGAAAATAAAAATTCCAGAAATGATTCGGCAAATCGAAAAATGAGAAAAAACGAGAAAAAAATTGTTTTTTTTCATAAAAATCATTGGAAAAAAAAATTTCCATTTTTAGAATAATTCTTTTAATTATCACTTGACGCATTTATTTGTTTTTTCAATAAAATTAAAATATAAATAAAAAATTAATCTTTTCTTCTAAGGATGTCATAACGTACTATTATTAAGTAAAAGTAAATATTTTTGTTTTTTATTTGAATGCAATTTGGGGGATAGAATGGCTCAGTGGGTTGTTGCTCAATTGGGAGCACCGATGCTGAAGTTCGATTCCTCGTAGGAGTAAACCTGTATAAAAATTTAAGTGACGCGGGCGATTCACCCGTATTTCTATCGCCAAGGGATTTCCTGGCATATTACCCAATTGCAACAAGCCAGTGGAGCGAGTTTAGCCAGTAATGGTGAGGACTCTTAAAAAAAAAATTTGGTCGCATAAAAGTAGAAATAAGTTTCAAGCTGTGTCTCGATTTTATATTAATAATAGATTGCCAGAGGTATGATTATTGGATTGTTAATTTAGACAATTCGGTTATACTGCTCTCTGTAAATTAAGAATTCTTATCAACCATTATGTAGTATAATCAGTTGACCAATTTTGTGGAACCAATCCACCAATTTTATGGAACCAACTCACCAATTTAAGAAAGTCATCGAAATGAAAGCCAATTTAATCCGAACGGAACTTAGCCATAACCTAGTTTTTTATGTTTTTTTAAAATTTTTCAAAATCTTAGATCGCAATAATAAAAAGGTTAAATCAAAATGTCGAAAATCACCACCATGTGATTCAATTATTTCATGCCGCAAAACGTCGTAAATTTTCCTATATGGTCGTTACACTTTTAGGTGAAAATTTGCGAAATTTAAAGGTTGTCTTTTCGAAAAAATTTAACAAGTTGAAGGTTATCTCGAATAAAAATATTAATGCAATTAAAAGGAAATACTTTTATAAAAATTTATAATTTGAAAAAAAAAAGTTTTTCAAAAATTCAGCGAAAATGTCCAAATCAGTTGATGACAGCAAAAACATGGAGTCGAATCGGAATTCAGTGCTTGTATAGTTTAAAATTATTGCATGATATTGGAATCGTTCATCGAGACATAAAACCAGCGAATTTCGTTCTTGGAAGCGAAAACGATCCACAACGAGCCAGATTTATTCATATTCTCGATTTTGGCCTATCGAGGTTTGCCTTCTTGTCACTTGCCAAAATGCCTAAATCAATATGCTTGTTTCGGCTTGAACGCTTTAAAAGTATACGAACTGGGATTGTGCTTCTTTAATAGAACATGGAATAATTGCTGGAAGACCTAGCTGTATGTTCTATACTCAAATGATTGCCCTTAATAACCCGTGGAGCGAGAAATGATTCCTGAAAGAAGATCGAGGAGAAAAATCATTTTTTGAAGGAATTTCGCGTTCGAAGAAAAGAAGGATTCATGGATAGCGAGGAAAGCACGACCAACAGCCCATTTTCGAGGCACATTACGATATTGCTCAGTGTCTGCTCATGATAAAAACGAACAAGTTATTATTATTTATCGAAGAATTCAGCAGGAGGAGCAAAGTTAAATGACGGCCAATCATTTGTATAGGAATAAATCCCAGATCCCAGTAGTAATGACCCAGTAGTAATGACGACTCGTTGGCAAGTGAACCTCCAATCGTAATGTACTAATAGCCAGTAAAATTACCTAAAATAAAATAATAGTAAGCGAACCATTTTTATAAGGCTTATTTATTATCAAATAAAAAGCTAATTCGAGCGCTTATAAGATTCTATTAAAAATAATCCAAAATAATCCATCGCTGAAGAAGATTATGATTATGGCTTATGGGCTGCAAGCTTATGGAAAATAATAAATTTTCCATAAATAATCGCGAAATTCGATTTGAAAAGGGACGTAAGGACGATATTTGGTCATTAATTTACATACTAATCGAAATGCATTGTGGACTTCCATGGCAAAAAGAAAAAAATAAAAAAAAGTTGCAAATTAAGAAAATGACAATCACTGATAAGGAATTATTTCGGAATTTCCCAGGTATTTTTTCAAATTTCTTATCAAAGTTTTCAATTTAATAGGATGATAGGACCATTTGTTTCTCGTTGCCTGATTCTATTAACGGCTATATTGAGAAATGTTCAGTTGACATTAGAGACCCGAAGAAACACCAGAGAACCACTTGTGATTAGTGGTGAACATAAGACAATAAGAAACCGAACCTATGCTGCTTGCAAAAACCATTAGTGCAGCTCGTTCCCCCTCTCCCCTACAAAGAAAAGTTAAATAGGTAAATCTTATGAAATTCGCACCATTTTTGGAATGATAATGGATAAAAATAATATGGAATGATACCAACTAATCAATATTAGTAATTTCCATAAAATGCATTTCCTCTAAATTATAGTATGAAATATTAAGGGAATATCAAATGCTGTTGGCATCTGTAAGTATGAGGCAAAAAAAAATCCAATTTTTTGAAAAGAAAGGCATTTTCATTTAGATTAATTAGCTGAATAAAGAAAAATCATTCTAAAAATAAGAAATATCCAGAAACTCCACAAATAGTAATTCCATTAATATTCACTCATCTATAAATCCTGCAAAACTGAACCAAATGCTGGCGATTTGATTACATTTATTTACAGTTAAATGCGATAAGCCAGTGGAGCGAGTCTAACCAATAATGGTGAATGCCCTTAAAAAAAAAATCCTAGAGACAATATCTATTTTGGTTGGCTTCATATCAATATAGTATCAAGTTCCGATACCAAAGCGATGCCTAACTCTTTTTTTTTTTAAAGAGTTCTCACCATTACTGATTAAACTCCGCTGGCTTATCGCAGTGGACAAATATGCCAGGAAGCACCTTGGCGATAGAAGTACAGGTGAGTCACCCTGATTTTTAAAGGTTTACTTCTGCTGGGAATAGAACTTCAGCATCCGCTCTCCGAACTGAGCAACAACCCACTGAGCCATTCTATCCCTTCCAATTAATTAAAACTTTTCTTTTTCTAAATTGTTCCCTACTATATCGTTGGAACTTTAAAATTTTTTCAAACTGTGCCATCTCGAGTTTGCGAAAAATCTATTAAATTATGCAGTAATTTCCAGCAGAATTCAACGTCGTATTACCACATCTAAGAGAATTAAATTATTACAGCCGACCAGATTATTTTCTTATTTACAAATGCTTTCACGACGTAATAAAACGGCTAAATATTAAATATAATGAAAAATTTGACTGGGAAACTGATGAACAATTTAATAAAATGGTAAAAATTTTCCAAAAATTTTTTTCATAAATTTTTATTAATTTTTATTAAATTTTTACTTTATTAATCATTTTTTATCAAATTTTTCTATTGAAACATTAATAAATTATTTCTTATGAAATTTATACTGATAATATTGACAGAGTGCCAAAATGAAACAACCCGACTATGACGCAGTTGAAGCATTCTTCAAAAAAGATCCACTAAAAATTAATGGACCACCAACGTCAATCGGCCAAAAAAAATTCTTTTTCAAACAAAACTGATAATAAAAAATAGGAATGAAATAAAAATTATTTCTCACATAAAAATTCATAACTTTTTATGAAAACTACTTTACATGTGACTAAGCTCTTCTCCCATTAATTTCTTGAAAGAGTGATTCTCAAAGTTTTTGCCTTAAGGACTCTAAAATTATTGAAAACCCACAAAATTTTATAAAATTCATTAAGAAATAAGTTAAAGATTTTAACCTGAGGAGAACTCTCATAGAATTCGATCCAAACTTTTAGAACCACTAATTCAATGCAGAATTAAATATATGTGTTTTATAAAATCCACAGAGCATTTCCCAAATTCAAAACCAAAAAAAATTTATTTGCACTTTCTAAATGCATTTGTTGCATTTCAACATTTAACTGTATTTCATTTCTTTACAACAACTAGAACAACCTAAAATAACTAAAAAATATTTTAGCTGAAAAGTACAATGAACAGAAAATTAAAAACTTTCGAAGGAAATTTTCATAAAAATATAAAGCTATTAATCAAAGAAAAGTTTATTTATTTTTATTTATGTTTATATTTTTCAAAATTATTTACAAATATTTGTATAAATATTATTTTCAATTAATATGCTATAATTAAAATAATACCAAAAAAAAATTCGCATTATTTCCTTTCAAAATAAAATCTAAAGAACAAAAAAAATAAAAACGCGAGGATTCTATTTGCACGATTCTACACAATTTATTCATTTTTTTTGTCTGCTAAATTTTGTTTTAAATTTTGTTAAGTACAAAAAAAACTAAAACAACCGATGATATGAAGGATATTATGAAAGAATTTGTATATTTTTAATGATATCAGAACATTTAGCAGAAAGCTTTATAGTAGCGATATCATCTGCTCTCGTGGGACCGATATTGACAATAATAATAGGAATTTGTAACGAATGCGCTTGAAGAACGAATCGATAGCCCGACATAACTGTCAAAGAAGAGCCAAGTATTAACATTCCATCACTCTCGAACACCTAAAATAAGAAATTTTTATATTTATTTCTATTATAATATAATTTTCCAAAATTGAACCTTATCATAACATAATTCTACCACATCTGACGAAACACAATCGCCGAAGAATACAACATCGGTTTTAAGTATGGAACCAGGACCACATTTAGGACAATGCGGTGGTTTGAAACTTTGACTTGCTTCATCAGATATTTCTATATCGCCATCAGGTGCCAACTCTCCTACTTCTGTAACCAACCAGTTTTGATTATCATGTTTGATCCATTCTTGCACTATTTCCCTGAATTTTTATGATTAATAAATGCAAAAAAAAATTATTCACATGAAATACAAATTAATGGTAAAAGAAAGAAAGTAAGAAGAATATAAATCTTTATTTTTTAAAAGGTAAAAAATAACTTAAATATAAACTTAAATATAAAAAAACTTAAATATATTAAATATACGTATATTAAATATAAACTTAAAAAAAATTTAATATTTATCAAATTATCAAAAATTTGGCTGATGAAAAAACTTCAAGCCTCAGCCATTTTAAGATACCTGTTAGGCAAATGACAATTACCAAAAAATAAAAAAATAATGAACCTTGGATAAAGTTCACTGCAGTTCATACATTTAACTTGCCTATTACATCCATGCAATTCCGATAACATTTTCGAGCCAGCTTTTGTATGTAACCCATCAACATTCTGGGTTATTAACCAAACAAACTATAATAAAAATGAAAAGAGTTCGGAGAAAAATGCTGAAATCTAAAATCTAAAATTTTTTCTAATAAGATTTTAAGAAAAATTCAAAAAAATTTAAGAAGTTTTAAAAATTAAATTAATTAAGTAAAAATTAAGTTTAAGAAAAATTTTCAACATTTTCAATATAAAATTTTCAATAAAAAATTATACGATTTTTTGGAATATAAATATAAATCATAAAAAACAACATAAAATATTTTTCGAAATATTAAAAATGGTTTAAATATTTTAAAGTACAAAAACTAATTTAAAAAAAGAATATTTTAAAGTATAAAGACATGTCAAATTTGTATAAATAATAATTTTAGGGTGTATAACAAATTTATTGGAAAACTGGAATTGAATTATTGTTAATATATAGTTTTTATTAATAATAATCGAATTCTGAATTAACTGGAAGTAAGATATTATTAATAAAAATATAAAATATGAATGTTAATTAATATTAATAAATAAATAATATAAATATTGTTAACAAAAATATCAAATGTCCTCGACAATGAGTTAGTAAATAAAACTGAAATAAGATTTATACGAAGGAATTATTAAATAAAAAGGAAAATTATGATACTTGAAATTTTGACAATTCCCTTAATTTGTTGTTACCAATTTCACTTTATTTTTATACCCATTCCATTATTTTTTATTGTCGCTAACATAATCATAGGCTTACTAACTCTATTCGACAAAATATTTGAGTAATTATTTTACATAAGGAAAGAATAAACCTATCAAAAATTTGGAAATATAAATATTTATCTTACTTTATCCGTCTTTTCCCATGAAGCAATAGTTTCATGAATTAAATTAGGCTTCGATTCGCAAAAACGTGGCCATGCAACAAAATTTCGCGACCAATATCTCTTACGATATTCCACATGTTGCATAAAATCTCTATGTTCGATAGGTCGATGATTTGATCGAGCATATTGACCCACTTTTTCTGAACGATAATCTGGAATACCTGAAAAAAAAAATTATTTCTTCAATCATTTCTATTAAGAAATAAAATTATGTTAAAAAGACCTTTAAAGACCTTTAACTCATCACTTAAAAAATGAAATAAAACCCTTGTACTTATTATTTCTCTTATCATCTGACTTACCGACAATCAGTTATTTGAAAAAGCACAACGATGGGAAATGCTTATAAATGATAAGCAAAATGATGGAATAAATAATCATTGATAAACAGTTGAAACAGTTGAAAAATGATATAAAGAGCATGGAACAAAAATGAAAACGAATAGGAATTGGCTTACTAATACTGGCTTACTTGTATATTAACTAAATGAATTTTTGGCTCGGCTAAAGCAATTATATATGGGAATAGCGAGTTAGGAATAGGAATAGGAAAAATAGGAAAAACTGATTCATTATTTAAAGTCGGATTTTTCGCCTTAATTGGAACTATACGACTTTATATGTGAATAGTAAAAAAAACCTGATTCGGTTGATATGCCAGCTCCAGTCATTACAATTAACTTATTGAATCCTTCAATAACATTTTGAAATTTGCTTATCGCTTCTTTCGTTGGTGCCTTATATTCGGGAACAAAACGTAAAAGTGACATGATGCAGGAAAATTTATTCGGGTATCAGTTTCAAGAAAAAGTACCATTCATTGGCCGAAAGATCTCTCGTTCCAGGTTACAAAAGAGAACGTTTAGAATCCCAGTTTGTGCTGAAATACTTTTTATATATTGAAATAGCTATCTAAAAAAAGAAAGCTGTTAGACTATCCTCTCCCTAAATGGCAGTGCATGTAATGTAGACGAAGATGAGACCAAATAATCGACTGGTGCAGCAAGCGATAAACTATAGTTCAACTCTCGCTAAAGTGATAAAGTCACCTACCATTATAAAATCAGAATGGTGTCGGGCCGAATGTTCCACTTATAACTCTAACCTCAGCTGATACCCTCTTCTGAAAGTAAGTTCCTTTTTCTTTTAATAATTCTCACCATTATCACGCTGAGCTGGCGCCGCTACAATAGTCATTTCCAGGCTGAATCCGACTAATAGTTGTGGCCAGTTGTAGCCTAATTATTGGAAGTTCCATAACTGACGAACAAATAAGTCTTAAATAATCTCATATAACCATAAACAGAGATAAATTCAATAACTAATAAATAATATTAAAAAATCCAAAATAATAATAAGAAAATATGCGATGCTAAAAATTAAAAAGGTAATTAAAAGGTCAACAAAGGTCAAATTTTCACAATGAAAATTGTCGCACTAATAAGCATTTTAGACGAAAATCTTCCAATTTTTAATAGAATTTTACAAAAATAAAAGAGCGAAAATTCGAAAGGTCAAATGTCACGAACTTTCAATAGAATGTGTCGCAGCACGTTGATCTTAAAACGAAAATATATTTACTGTAAAATGCAGTCTTGTATTGATTTTTAAAATTATATAAAAAGGGTTTTTTTGAAGCACAAAGGTGTTTCCTTTTATTTCTCAGTAACCCAGGGGAGACTTAATTTTATGATCGATCGGAATCGACCTGCATTGGTACTTGAAAGTATATATTTGGCTTAATCTTTCGATTTTTTTTCGATTTGTTTTTTGAATAAATCGTAATTATTGCGAAAAAAATCTTAAACTATAAATTTACTTTTAGATATTTCTTTCTAGATTTATTCCTTTTCAAATGTCTGACCTGTTTCGGTCAGCATTTAATTATTTTAATTTATCGCCCGTATGCGCGGTTCCAATCGGTAAAATAGATCATCCACTTGTTGGTACAAATATTGAAGTTGGTGGTTTGAGGCTTAAATTACGCTCGCTTATCGCTGAAGGCTTGTTTTGATTAGCTTATTTATTTATTTATGATAACCATCGCATGATAGAAAATTTATCCTTGAACTTGTGCAGTCAAAAACTTTACTTAAAACCGTTACAATACTCTTTGATAAACAAGATATGCATTATAAAATATGTAATAACATAAATAAAAGCCTTTAAAAATTTATAAAAAAAAAGGAAATTAAAACTTAATTATTGCGATCCACACGAGCTCTATCGTCTCCATAATTCCACATTAGTAATAGTTTAAAGTTGATAAGATTATGCGGTCAATTTCTGATAAGATTATGCGGTCAATTTCGACTCTGTGCTTTATGATAGCCGAACTGAATTAGCCAAAGTGAAGAAATTGACCTCAGCCAAGGTGTCAGTTAGTATGTGAGATATGTTATTTTGCATTAAAAAATGCTATAATATTAACAAGTTATCAATCAGCCGATTAATTTACCCATTAGGACAATTAACTACTTTCTCTAAGCCAATTTGAAATTAGGAATTCAAAAAATTAGAATAATAATATAATTATCATTTCGCAGCAAGGGGCAAGCTTTCACGACTTGCCGAACTGCATGCTTCGAGGTGCTAAATTAATGAATAGGTCATTCTTTTTTTTCCTTTTGGGTTATCGGGTTTGGGTTTCCTTTTGGGACGGTTAAATTCATTAATCCCCAGCACCATTTTTTGCCTTGTTTCTTTTTTTTAACTTCACGACTCCCAAAAATTTATTTTTATGGCACATTGTTAAATTTTTTGCATTTAACACTAGGGAAGTAATAATCTGTTTTATCTCACTATTACTGGTTAGACTCGCTCTGCTGACTTATCACATTAAACAGATGTGCCAGGCAGTTCCTTGGCTATAGAAATATGAGTCGCCAGCATCACTCCGATTTTTGTATAGGTTTATTCCTGCAGAGAATCGAACCTCAGCATCAGTACTCCCAATTGAGCAACAACCCACTGAGCTATTCTATGTCCACTAATAGAAGAATAACGGAAACGGTACGCTTAAATCCTTTAGTATTTTTCCTGATCCCTCGGAAAGCAGCTTGTTGTATAAGTGGTGAAAACTTTTTAATTCTGGCATTGAACAATTGACAAATTTATTTTTTTGTTATTTTCAGTAATATTTTATATTTTAATCATTTTTTATTTGGACTATTTATTGTCCAAGGTTGATTGATTTCTAGGTGGTTTTGCTCTTGTTTTCTCAGCACAAGACTCACAAGGCAACTGGTTTGCTCTTAAACGCCAGCTGGCTGCAGATCGAGAAACTGCTGATGCTATTATAAAGGAAATTCGTTTTTTACGTGAAGTGAGTTCAACAGAGAAAAACAAGTTAAATTTCTAATAAGCGATTTAACAGCGATTTAAGCGATTTTTTGTAAGGCTTAGAGTAAAAGCATATGTTTTTTTGATATATCAGGAGTTGAACATTTTTACCACTTCTATGAAACCGATATTTTTATGCAACATGCGCTTCTTATAAAAAGAATTTCTAGTTTGCCTGGATACTCTGGCTGTTAGCATGAGACTCTTAGGGGAATTAATTTAAGATAGAGATGTGCCAGGAATCAAAAAGAGATACAAAAAGAGATCTTCTTAGGCATCCAGATTTTATTCATATATATTGTATGTATTTTTTGATTTTTAGTTAACAGATCATCCAGCAATAATCCGATATGTACAAGCTGCACAATTAAACCAGCAGGAAAGCGGTCACGGCAGAACGGAGTTTTTGCTTCTTACCGAATTATGCTCAGGTCCTTATTTTGAAACAGTTCCTTTGAATTATCCTTTATAATTTCAAATAAGAACCAAATGAGATTGCCTTTTATTCTCGTTTTCATTTAGGCGGTTGTGTAAGTGAGGTTTTGCAAAGGAAGCCATTCTCTTTATCTGAAGTTTTAAAAATATTTTACGCTGCTTGTAGTGCTGTATTTCATATGCATGCTAAGAATCCTTCAATTATCCATCGAGATATGAAGGTTCGTTTTTTCTTTTAAGGTGCTAATTGTGTTTTTCCACGATATTTTTTAAAATATCTAAACATTCGAAAATTTGGCAATTTCTTAGTTTCACAGGATGCATTTGGTATTCTTTTTCTAGTAAAATGATTAAATTAATGCTGTTGTTGGTCATCGAGCAAATACAATGCTACTTTTCAACTTCACTTCAGATTGAAAATCTTTTGTTCGACAGTTGTGGATTCGTAAAACTGTGCGATTTTGGTAGCGCTACGACCGAAGTCTTCTTTCCTAATGATTCTTGGAGTGTCCAGCAAAGACAAAGATTGGAAGAAGAGGTAATTCCTACAAGATTTGTTTTCCTTTAGTTAACTTTATTAGATAATTGTTATTTTGTTTGTTTGAAAGAGATTGACGCAAATTTAAATAAAATAAAACAAGATATTGATAATACCTTTCAGCTGGCAAGGCATACAACACCGATGTATCGGTCTCCAGAAATTTTAGATTTGTATTCAAATTTTCCAATAGGGCCTGCCCAAGATGTCTGGGTATTTTTTTTGGTTCTATTCTTGTTTCATTTTTAAAATCTGAATATTTTGTTTTTTGCAGATTTTTATTGATATTTAATTGGTTGATAAATTATTATTGGATTTTTTGCAAATATTTTCTTCTAATTATGAGTAAAACATTTAGGCTCTTGGCTGTATCCTTTTTTATTTGTGCTATCGAAGACATCCTTTTGAAGATAGTGCAAAATTAAGAATTATTAACGCGAATTACGTACTTCCTGAAGGTGATACTGGTTACAATATATTCCATCCGCTCATTGGTACGTTTGTTTTTCTTTTTTTGCATTCTTTCTGCTTTTTGCAATTCCTCCCATTCTTGCATTATTGCTCATTCTTCAATTTTAGAGCAAATTTTACAAGTTGATCCAAGAAAACGTCCAAGTATTGTTAATCTATGTGAAAAATTAAGTTCTCTTGCCAATTCTTTGTCAGTGGACTTGACTAAACCCCTGGATGATCTCCAGCTGCCACAGTTAACTAGCGTAGGCCAAACTTCAGCATCTATTAGTGCTACCACAAGTTAGTCTGTCCTTAATTTGAAGTTTTCTTCATTTTTTTTGAATTTTTTAAGTTTTTTTCCGATAAATTAAAGTTGAATTTTAAGATTTCTTATTTATTTATTGTTTTGTTTATTGTTTTGTAATACCATGTTGTTGTTGAAGATCATGCCTAAACCAAAGACCTTTCAGGCCAGTTACATCAAGAATTAATGAATATCGGTGAGAAAGCTAAAAATTTTGCTACTTCTCGATCATCACCTATTACGCAGCAGAAAATAGATCATGTGCGTTTATTCGCGAATATAGTATTCTTTGGAAATGTAATTATTTATTTAAGCAATTATTTATTAATCTAAATAATTGCTGGTTAACTTTAGGAACATACTGCACAACAGCAAGCGTCAGCAATGTTAGGTGCCCTTAAAGATCAAGGTTTATCCTGGTTCAAAACAATAAAAGAAAAAACGACATCAGTTGCCCAGACAGTACAGGTTTACCATTCTTCTTCTAAAAGCTACATTTCGCTGAGCTATTTCTGCTTTGATTATTAAAATTTGTATGACTTTTTCGCTAAAAAATTGTTCGTAATAAAAATAATACAGGGTTCTCAACATGATTTCATTTTCAATGCCGTTATGGGATGAGAAACAAATTCAATGTTTGGTCCATGAAATTGTAATAAATGTTGTTGTAATAAAATTTGAGCAGAATTATTTAGAATCAGAAACATAGAATTCACGAACTTGTTTATCGGAAGTTTTAATGTTGATTTTTTTCTTTATTTTACCTATTTAAATTTTTTATTTTTAGTCTACTTACGGTGGCCGTGGGCCTGACATCACATTCTTAACAAGTCGTCTGGTGATCGCACCGCTTATTGAAGGTGTCCCAGAACCATTAAGTACTCAAGCTGAGGAAGCTATGCGTCAGCATATTATCGAGCGAATGCGAAATGATTTCGCAGTATTTAATTTATCTCAGAGGTTTTTTTTATTATTATTATCTTTGAGAATGCATCTTATATTACTGCTTTCATCAAAAAAGCTATTATTAAAACTATTATTTACTATTATTAAAACTATTATTTTCAGATGTCTCCGTGGTAATTATGGTAAACGTTTAAATGAATTCCCTATGCACCAAGTTGGAAGTGGTATTGCTCCGACGGTTACGAATATCCTCGCACTTTGTAGTACCATCGGTAGATATCTGAACGAAAATAATACCAATGTAGTTGTCTTAACAGGTCCAGAAGGTTCCTTTTCATCTTATCTGAGGAGGTTTTTTAATAATTTGAAATATATTGATTGTATTAAAATATTAAATTATTAAAATATTTAGTTTTTTATATGGTTTTTCTATCTTTCATTAAAGGACAATCTGATAAATTTAGCTCAGTGTATATTGCTGGCTGTCTCATTAATGTTATATGTTCGCTTAGTACCGAGGCCATTGTTTGCAATAGAATATATTTGCTCAAAACGTCCTCATTCTTCTTTGCCTCCTTCTTATCATCGTCAAATTGATTTACTTCATACAATCGTTTCAGCAGATCCTGAAGCTTTGCAACAAGTCCGTTGTTTTTAATTTGTTATAATTATTTATTTTTTTAATTTTTTCAAAGATTTTAATTTACAAAAAAAGATATTTTTTTTAATTTTCAAAAAAGTGAATATTCAGATAGTTCATAATCATCCGGTTGCTTTGCATTCCATTCTGATTTCTCCTACACCTATGTTTAACCGTAATCGAAGTGGTTGCCGACCTGTTATCGAGATTTTCGCAGAAGGTGTCAAGGTGTGGTCTTCGTTGAAAAATTATGAGGAATTAAGGTTTTGACAATTTTTTCTTGTTCTTTATCAAAATATGTTTGATGTATAAGATAGTAATTTTTTCAGAGTTCACAGAATTATCTATATTTTATCATTTATAGATCGTTCGAACTGGCCGAATATCCAATGGTTGATTTAGATTTAGGAAATATAGTTGTTGATGGTGATATTCAGGTATTTCCTTCTTTATTTTACTGGAAGATTGGAGTAACCTGGTTGAATTGCGAAAACTTCTTAGAACATGCAAGATTTAATTCTTGCCGAGGCCAGAATGAGAGTGGAGAATATTAAGATATTAGCAGCCTTTGACCACTTTTGTCTAAGGTACATACTGTTGATCCGTCGAGCGGATAAGATATCACAAGATCGCATCCATCTTCGTTCAAATACCACATGCATAAATAATGTTATCACAGAGCGCCGTCTTCGCTGGTTAGGGCACATTCTCCGTCATCTACCATAGGAGTTGACGCAAATTTCGTTATTTGGTAAACCGTGTGCATTAAAAACGAGGTGGGCCAATCAAGACCTGGACTGATACGGTGAGAAAAAATTTTGAACGTATAGATGGACCAGCAATATATGGACTTAGACAATGGAAAAAGGAATGACTTCCATTACTGTCGACAATGGCATCAGACCGCGCCGCTTGGAAGCGTCTTACCCTTGTAGCCGTTGGAGCCAGCCTAACCAGTAATGGTGAGAACTGTTAGAAGAAAAAGAGGCCAGAATGTCATTGTATGGATATCCAGTTCTTTCGATGAATTGTTCCATAAGGATTAAGAGGCCTTGGTCACCACTCAATTCAGCTCAATTTTCTGGAATTCCAAATTTATAAGAATTATAAGAATATATATATATGTATAGGGATTTATATTTTGTAGTACGAATAAATTCTTTTCGAATAAATTTGTTTGGAATCTATTTTTTATTATTTCCAAGCTGTCATATTCTTTTATTTTTTTGGCATAGAATTTTTAGATCATTATTTATCATGCCCGATGGATAAAGATGCAACATCGAGTACAGCTGCATTTCATGTTTTCGGTTGGCTTTCATTCTAATTTTATTCGTCGGAATATTCGAATGTTGGAATTCACCCGCGGTGATTTGGATCATCAATTTAGTGATGATAGCAAATTTGGCGAACCATTCAGGTTTTTTCCATTTGTATCAGTGGTTTTTCCTTTCTTTTTAAAACGTTCTTTCTTTTAGAACGTTTAAACGTTTGAATTGGACTATTTTTATTCTTTCTTTTTTTTAAGATTTTCACTACTAATGTATTTATAGTGAAGTTTATGTTAAGTTTATATTGAAGATTTCCAGAGTTGGAATAAGGCTTGAAATTAACGATATTGACCATGGATTTAGTTTGGTAGGTAAACTACCAGCTTTTATTGATTTTGAATGGAATAATTTTTCGTATTCGATTCTTGTTTCTGATTTAAGCGAATGCGGTTAGTATTTTTTTTCACTGGTTGAATTTTACTATGCATTTTTTCACTTACCATGTTCACTTCACTTTAACTGTGTTCTTTTTACAGAGTTGCTTATGCGAAATTTGGGCCTCAGCAAGCAAGAGCGAACGTCACCATTATCTCAGCAATCAAATAATATATCTAATACGAAATGCGAGACTAAATCCAGTGTTGAATCTAATGTCAGTAATTTTTTCTCTACCCTTGATTGGACCAACGAAAGCATTTCAAATAAAGCTGATCCTTATTCAATGGGAAATATGAAGAAGAATTTGCCAAATATTTCTGATCAACCACTACAATCGCATACCGCTGAAGCATATGAACGATTGTACGGTATTCGAGTTTCAAATATTGGTGATGATGATGATTCTGATCAGTATAAATTTGATCATGAGAAGGTTGATAATCTTAAGCCGTCTGCTGATAAAGAGAAAAATAATTCTGCTTCTTCTGAAAATATAGACCTTCTTGGTCTGGGAAGCGGTAAATTTTGTTAAAATGAAAAAAATTGTCAATGTTTTTTGTTTTTTTTTAGTTATGCATGCATTTTTTGCATACAATGAGTGATGACATACCCTTTTTTGTCGTTGTGCTCAGATTGTACTATTCAGATGTTAGCATGTTATCTTGTCGTTCGTCATCCCTTTCTAATAAGCCAGTCAAGATTGCAAATAATATCGAAATTTTTTCGGATTTAAGCAACACAAATAGTGGTTGTGAGAATAATCTCATCTCGGATATTGTTAATCATAAAAAGGTTGAAAATTTGGCATTCGATAATCTGATGGATTTCACACCACCATCTATCATTCATTCAAGTAGTTATTTTTTCACCATTTATGTGTAGTTTCGATTAGTTTTTGCACTAATTTTAAATTTTTATTGATTAATTTTTATCTATTTTATTACTTTTATTGCTATTTTATTGTTTTTTAATATTGTAACGCCATTTTCTACAGGTTCATTCTATTTTTCATTTAGGTGATCATTTATCTGGTATGCAACGTATCGTATCAGCACCTTCTTTTATGTCTCCGAGTTCTTCGCAATCTATTTTCGACCCTTTCGCAGAATTCTTAGCTTCAACCTCTAATGATAATCAGGAGAGTGGAAATAGAAAAGCTGGTTAGTCATTTAAAATCTATCGATGTCTTTATAATTCATAGAATATTTCAGTTTTTCAATTTGAAAATACCTATCTAAGCAACTTTTTGTTACTTTTTTTTTGTTCTTCAAGCAAATATAATTTTTTGTATTTTAGATCTTAGCTCATCTGCTAAAACAACTCCGAAAGTCGAGCGTCGCAATTATTCTCGGTCTCATTTTGATGCTATAAATTCAATTGGAGGTATATTTTCTGCGAATTTCATCTTCGATTTTTATCCCGTTTTTTTCAATTTATTTTTTGTTGAAGGTTCCAGGTCCAAAAGTAAAAACAGGTAATGATGCTTTTGGTGATTTATTGTCTTCTCATGGATTTTCCGCTTCGTCAAGAAATGTGAAATCGATTGGCGAAATGAAAAGGGAAAATGATGTCAAAGATATGGATCCGATCGCAGTTAAGGTTTGTTGACCCTCTCCGTATAATTTTTTGCCAGTGCGTCTCTTTTTATTTTAATTTTATCGAATAAAACTCATTATAGTGTTTTTCAGATCCGTGACTGGACTCGTGGTAAGGAAAGAAATATACGCGCATTACTTAGCTCTTTAAACGATATTTTATGGCCTGGTATTGATAACTGGGAGCAACCTTCTATGGCGGATTTGTTAACTCCTACTCAGGTAATTTTCAATAAAAAAGAAAGAAATTTTGAGTTGGGTAATTTTTTCGATTATTGATAAATAGAGATTCCTATCCATTGGCTGGAATGGCGGTCATGAAAAATGAAATCCCGAGTGGTTTAAATTTTATTTTGCTACTCCTATCTTATCTTCCAAGCGTAAATAAAAGATATGTTTTTTCAGGTAAAAAAATATTATCGAAAGGCATGTCTTGTAATACATCCAGATAAACAAACTGGTACTGAGAATGAATCGCTGGCGCGAGAAATATTCACTGAATTAAATGATGCTTGGACATCATTTGAGGCATCTAACTCCTGAGATTTTTGAAAAAATCGAGATGATATAGTTTTTTAAATGAAATTAATTAGATATAATTATTTTTCACTTATTTATTTAATTTTTTTAAATTTTTTTCTATATTTTTTCCATGTATATAATTGATAATTAAATTCTATGATCTCATGACTTTCTTTCTGTTGTACTATAGTTATCGCCGAATCTGGTCGATGTAAGCTTCAACCCACAGTAGATAGAATATTTTATGAATTATATTTTAATAAAATAAATTGCATTGCCTTGCATTTATCAGATTTAAATGTAGAAGATTTCCGTTTACTGTTTTTATTGCTATTTTATTGTATTTGAAATATTAAGTATGATTTATTTGCCTCTGTAGTAATAATAATTTGTTTTTATCTATCTATAATTATTTATTATTTATAATTATTTATTATATTCATTTATTTTAGCGCTAAATTGAATTAATTAAATTTAATGAAAGTTCTTGTCGTAATTTAGCTGTTATTACGAATTATTAATAAAATAATTTTAAAAAAAATATTAAAACTTCGGTTTCAAAACGCAAAACACAAGTAGCCAATTTATCGTTAAACCGTGCTCACATCATTTCTTGTTAGATGTGTTTGAATCTTTGTAGAATCTTTTCATTTAAAACTGTTGGTGAATACAGGTGAATTTCTAGCAAAAAATGAAAATTCCAGGCGGTAGCGCGCAGTCTCTCGTTTGGCCAATTCCTACGGCTAAGAGAACGAGACATATCTCGCTCGGATATGTACCTGAAATTAGTGGAAGCACTACAGCATAGCAAACATACATGATTAATTCATAATTGACTGAGTGGTGAATTTCTTCAAACTGTTTCGCCAAATCAGCCAAATCGAGTGGACAGCAAATCAGATTATTGCATTATAGTTGTCAATTAAAATATACGTTAAAATATGGAAAATTGTCCGAATTGGAAATTTTTTTTTTTGGTTGGCTTAATTTTTTGAGAAATAAAACAATTTTTGTTAACGCAGCTGGAATACCATCGATAAATTAGTTAGTATTAATTGAAATTGATTTGCTTATATTATCGCTTTATCACCCAATAGGCTCTGTTTAGAAAATTATGGGAAAATCAGCAATTATAGGTGCGTGCTATTCGTTGTATATGGAACTTATTTCTGTAGAAAATTTCATGGGTTTTTTCTCATTATTATGCCAATCATAATAATTATTTTCATAAAATAATCATTAAAAATTTAATAAATATAATAATTCTCGGAAATATATTACTTTTATAATTAATGAAGCCAGCTTAACCAGTAACGGTGAGAGCTATAACCAGCGAGGCCAGCTTAACCAGTAACGATGAGAGATATAACCAGCAAGGCAAGCTTAATCAGTAATGGTGAGAGATATAGCCAGTGGAGCCAGCTTAACCAGTATGAGAGCTGTTTTAAAAGAAGAAATAATAATTCCTGCTATTATTTTATTATTTTCTATTATTTTATTATTATTATATGATTGATCATAAAAAATTTAGCAAATTCTTTATTTCAAAAACCCTTATTTCTTGAAGCGTCTAAATCTGTCATTAAAAACGAAATCCTGGTTGACTAATGGAACTCATCTGTAGTTTTATGCAAAACAGTTCTCTAGCTAAAAGTCTTCATTTTTAATTAAATATCGGTAATATCAGATAAGTCAGAATTTAAGAATGAATTAAAGATAAGTCAGATAAGTCAGAGAAAATCACCGAAAAAAATTGCTAATTATAGTAATTTTTCATATAATTGCAGCAATTATTATTTTAAATAAATAGTGAATATAATTTTTAAATTGATAAAGAAACCAGAAATTTATCAGTTTATCAGTTAATTAATTCATACATTAGTTAATAGGTTTTTTTTATAGAAAAACGAGAAAAAAGTGTAACGAATAATAGTTACTCAAAATATGTCGTAATGGCAGCAATTAGTGGCGCTATTATCGCCATATTATTGGTTTGTTTTTTTGACGATTTTTTGAATTTATCCATAATTTCTCATTTATTTTATTTAAATAATTAATAAAACTTCTCATAATAATAAATAATTGATATGTGAAAATTGTACGGGGCGAACACTTTTTTTAAAGAGACCTCGCCATTACTGGTTAGACTTGCTTCGCTGGCTTGTCGCACTGGACAAATATGCAAGCGAGTCCTTTGGTGTTTGGAAGTACAGAAGAGTGGCTAGCATCATCCGGATTTTTGGACAGGTTTAGACACTCGTAGTAGTCAGGAGTAGTAGTCAGCATTCCGAATTGAGCCATTTTACTCTCCATGAGGCAAATATCTCCATCGCATGCATTTTGAACATATTTTCAAAATCTGTACAATTTCTTTAAAAATAGTTCATTCTGAAGAATCAACGTTTAAGCTATAAGTTATAAACCAAAGCCTAAATCTTCTATTTGAAAATGTAATCAACGTGGTACCACTTGTACCAAAGCAATAAAATTTAAGTTTATTAATATATTTCAGGTGAATGAATTTAGTCGCATGAACCAAGATTCACCAGCAATAAACGATACAATAGCAACCGCAGAAAAATCGCAGGAAAATGCGACAGAGAATGGAACTTTAGAAAATATCGATACGATTGAGAAGGACAAATCGAGGACCAAAAAAAAGAAAAAAACTGCATCGTCTAGCGGTAAGAAGTCATCTGAGCGAAAAGACAAACTGAAAATTGGTGATAAATTCATAGTTTACAGTTCAAATGAAAACAACTTCGAAATTTCCGACAGAGTCGTACTCCGGCATGACAATAGGTAAATTATTTTTCGAAAAGTCTTCCTTGGCTAAGAAAATTGGGCTTGGAGATTCCTAAATTCCCACTTTGATATCACTAAATCTTTTACGAACTTCGAGTGTCTGCTAGAGGTTCACCCATAGTTGTAGACCTCTCCACAGGTAACCAGTGAATGGTCCATTTTTCCCCTAAAAAAAATTTATTTTCAAATAAAAAATAGTGCATTTTTAAAAAATGCCCAAAATACCGAAAATCATGGTTCAGCGAAAACATACTTTTTTTCAGCATGCATGTAGAGCGAGGTCTTAGAGTCAAAGGAAATGTCTATACAACAATCACAGGAGTATCAGTAATAATTCCGGATCGTACTGTTATTAATATTATTTTCATATAATAAAGTTTAATAACCTGGAAAGTGTAAGCATTAAGGGATTTTATATTGCTTTGGCTGAAGTGTATTTTTGGCTTTCTTCCCCTTGGCAAGACGAAACCTATAATTAAATCCTTTTTTTGAGAACCTTAATTTTTCGTTAAAACCCTTTTTTACCTATGGACTTAAGTAAAGTAAAATTTAGCATAGGCAAAATCAACGCTAAAAATAGTTCGTTTTAAAGATATAACATATCCGATTAACACAACTGGTTGGTCCATCGATCATAGCGAGGTTCCTTCACTTTATCTGAAATATATGATTGCTGCCTCATTTGCGACGGGTGCTTTAAGCTTGGATGAATCAATTCCTGGTAAAGTTCTGTCGATTGGACTTGGTGGCGGCTCAGTAAATAGTTTCTTCAGGCACGTATTTAGTAATGTAAGCGATTAAAAGCCTATATGAAAGAAAAAAAAGAAATCCTCAAAATTTCATAATTAATCACGAATCACAAAATGGATCTAATTTGTGTAACAAATTTTGATTCTTGAAAATATTAATAAAATTCCCTTCCTTCCACTGAATTATTTATTGGGGTGATGCTGACGACTCATCTGTACTTCTATCTCCGAGAGATCTCCTGACGTATTTGTCCAATGCGAGAAGCCAGTGGAACCAGTTTACCCAGTAATATGAGGGTTCTAATCTGAATTATTTATTAGCTTTGTATTAGCTTAAATTAGTTTACTTCTGTTTTTCTTCCGTATGCAGGTAAAGTGAAATTTAGTGAGAACCTCATTCTATTAGTCAATGGAGGCAGCCAAACTGGGAATAGTAAGCGTTCTTAGACAATATTGAAATCACCTAGATTTTCAAAGGAATAAATGAGAGTGGTGCGACTATATTTAGTTCTTATAGATTGAATAACCGTTATATTTAGCCGAAGTGAATTTTAGATCGATGTGACTGTCGTTGAAATTGATGCGTTCACTGTGGAAATAGCGACGAAATATTTTGGTTTCCATCAGGACGAGCGTCAACGATGTATTATTGAAGATGGCTCTATTTTTATAAAGGAAGCAGCGAAAAAAGGTTTCATCATGTGCTTCCCTCAATTACCGCTTAAGCCTAAATTTATAATTAAGGACAGAAATTCAACGTTATCATATTGGATGCATGTGAAACTAAACCTACTCATGCAGTTTGTCCATGTAAGCCATTCACTGATCCAGCAATTTCACAGTATTTTCCTAAGATTCTCATGAAATCAGGTATTCACTTATATTTTTCCTCTATTCTCGAGCTAAACATAATTAGCTAATTTGCCATACTTATTCTATACTTTCCATTAGCCTCAAGCACAGCTAGGCATACTGCCGAACTTGATGTTTATTGCCATTATTACCATTAATTTTTGCAAATATTTCCGTTTTTCGAATTTCAAGTTATTTGAAAACTGTATATTGTTTGAAATGATTCTTTTCTTCATATGAACCCGAATTTTTCAGGCGTACTTTTGGTAAATTACTTAGCAAGAAACGAGGAAAATCTTCCTTACGAGGAGGTGAACAATTTTTTTTACTAAAATCCCATTCATAAAATTTAATAAACATGAAATTTCTTTGTTTTTTTTTTGATTTTAAAAGGAATTATCAGTGAATTATCACTTCTTCTATGATATATTTTATGTTTTCAGCTTATGAAGTCTTTCGAACCTTATTTTGAGGGTTGTAGCATATATCAAATTCCTATGTATGTTAATCAGGTTTGTTGATTTGCTCTCTTAAATCGTCCATTTTTCGTTCCATGAAAATTTTTTTTTTTTTATTTTTTATAGAAATTCTCAATGAATTTTATCGATGAAATTTTATTTTTTTATAGCTTTTACTCTGTGTGAATCGATTCAATCAGTACAAATATATTTTAAGCACAGAATTCAAAAATTCTATGTTCAAATATTGGAAAAAATTCAATTTCCAAGGTGATCTAATTTTTTAATCACTTTTTATCGTTAATTATCATTAATTCTCTACTATCGATGAAATTTTAATTATCATTAATTATCTTTTGTTGAGTTGTTGAGTTCGACTATATTTCTTGATTTTTGATTAAAATTTTTAACTAAAATTCCTCATAATTTGTATATTTGATAAAAAAATTTTCAGCATATTCTATAATAAAAATTTTTGTGCCAATATTATTTGTTCCCCCAAAAGCCTTAAATATTTATAATGAATTAATTGAGTGCCTTATGTATACAACTATTGCTTGTCAAATTTTTTTGCACGAAAAATTTTTATAAAATTTTCAAAGAAATTTGTGGACTTTTTCTAGGATCCTTTTTTCGTAAATAACAACAATCATAACAAATTTTATTTTTATAGATAATGATAAATGTTATTTTAATGAAATAAAAATAAATAAATAGCTTATTTTTTAATAAAATATAATGAGTAATATTATTACCAAAAAAATTTCAATTGGAATCACCAAATTTCCGCATTTATTGGTACTATTTTTAAGACAAAACAAGTTGAGACAAAATAACAAATAAATAAATAAACAAATCGAATAAACTCCTTGGAGGATTGCAAAAAGAAATTCGTCCCAACATCATCCCAACCTTACTAGTACCATTAATTTATATTTGTGATCTTTGAACTTTAGTTATAATTGAAAAAATTTAAAATTTAGTAGTGATATATGAAATTTTATATGGTTAAATTGGAAGTACCATAACCTCATTTTGAATCTGAAAGCAATTAGATCCAATGGTCTAAAATTACTAAAAACTTATATTCGATTGTTAATGGTATATGCGGTATCATTTGCATAATTTTATGAGAAAATCATTGCACCATAAAGACTATAAGCTGACTAGAAGAATATTTTCGAGAAAAATTCGTTAGCATAAAGGTTGATTTTATAGTATTATCGTTAATTTATTGTTAATTATCGGAAATTATAAATCTGCTATTTGTGAAACAGAATAGTATTAGGAAAGCAGTATTATTAATATTATTAAAAATTTACTAGATTTTTTTATTTTTATTTATTTTTATTTATTTTTTATACACAAAATTATTCGAAAAGAATTTTTTTAAAATTTTTAAATTTTATAAAAATATACACCAATTACAATGGTATATTAATAGTAATACTTACTATTAATGTAACTTTGTAACTATTGCCGCGATAAGTGTTGGTTTAGGGATTGATAAAGCACATATTCGACAGCTCCTGGGAAGATCTGAGAAAGGTACCACGCTCATGTGAATCTTCTAGCAGGAGAGTGGCGAATTTTTTAAATTTTACAAAAATATACATTAATTACAATGGTATATTAGTAATAATACTTACTGTAATTTTGTAATTGTACTGTAACTAATGATGCGATAAATGAATGTTACAGTAATATTTTTAAAGTTTGAAGTAAATATCAATCCATATTTTCCATTAGTAAAATTTGAAAATTATGTAAAATTTTAAAAAAAAAACAACAAATGATTTGATTCCCCTCAGCTCCCTATTTGGAATTTCTTTTGGAATTTCCAGCGATTCAGGGGAGTCTATTCCGACCCAAAAGAAGAAGTTTAGGAGGAGTTTAAAAGAAGGAAAAAAAGGAGAAAGATAGAGATATTCAAATGAAAGAGGAAATGTGAATGCAGAAAAACACGAGTGACTGCCAAATACTAAAATTCACCGAACCACGACACCACATTGCATGAATGGAAAGAACCTAATTATTTGGAAAATGGATGGATTATTTTGCTAAATTCAAAATATGCATCTTTTGATTGGAGGATTTTCTTGCTGAGAACTAATAATTGCAAATTTTTAAATGCATACAAATAATTTTTAATTTTTAGTTTTTACTCTGAGAAATTTATGAGATTAATTCAAATAAACATATCAGCGCCAGGAAATTAGTTGCATAAAGGTTCCTCTGAGGGGCAAACAAGTGATTTTTTAAATTCGCATTAGAAATTAAGGCCAAGAAATTTTTAAATTATAAATCAAATTATTATTATTATTATATCATTGATATTTATTATATTATAGAGTAAATTCGGAGTCAGGAAGGTAACTTCGGAGCTCACTTAAGGAGAAATTGGTGAACTACTTTAACTGAGTGAAGAAATGGAAGCACCATTAAGCGCCAAGGATTTAATCAGATGCATCGGCAATCTCGGATTGTCTGAGATGTTAAAGCAATTAGTGTATAAAATTTCAAATAATTTTATCGTCTCACCATTCTTCCGTTAAAAATGCATATGGCATGATGAAATCTTTAAAAAAATGAGAAATTCGCCATTTTATAAAGTTTATTATCTTTCGAATTTCTGACTTCAAGCAATCAAATTTCAAATTTCAGTTCGTCTCAAAATAAATTTTAAGCAATTAAAAAATGATAATGCCAACTGATAACATTGTTGAGAAAATAGGAACTCGCCGAATTTTCTCATTGTTTTTTTACTTTCGGCTCACAAACATTGGTACCATTCACGTTCTTTCCAGCATAGCCCGATTGACATTGACATGGCGTTATCGCTTTACATAAAAATTTCGATGTGTGAGAAGTATAAGAATGACAGAGTCTGCGATAAGCCATATTCGTGCCACAACTAACAAAATCAAAGTATTCAGTCGTTGCTATCAATGTGACCTGAATAAAATTAGCGACACTATCCAAATAATTCACCTCTCTCTACTTGCAGCAATTAATATTGCAAAGATTTTTTTGCATTTTTACATTTTAAAAAAAGGGGGGAAAAAATTCTAGCAAAATTTTTCCATTGGAAATCTAACTATTCTTTTTTTCTCGCTTGTACATCCTAATTTTTTTTATTTATAGCTATGCAAACCACGACGAAATATTAAATAAATAAAAAATAAAAATCCAACAAAAAAAAAACTACATCCTTATCATAACTGGTGACATGATGAAAAAAAAAATGCTTGATTCAGTTGATTTGGTACAGGCATAGTCACCACGTATAGTCGAGAACAAGAGCGGTTGAAATGACCAAAGCGGTTACAAATCACCATGTGGTGCAATCGTTAGGATTATTAGGCAGAGCATTCATATAATGTCTCTTATAAAATGGTAAAATTTTTATTGTTATTGAGAATTTAACCGCTGTTTTATAGTTTCTCGCTTGTAACTTGCACTTAATGGTACCATTCACGTTTCTTTCGGTATACCCAGATTCACATTGACAAGGCGTTGCCATAAAACAAACAAATCTTATTGTGGGAGGTGAATTGGAATGGCAATATCTAAGATAAACCATATTCACACCACAACTAACCAAATCTCCGGATTCTGCTTCCGTCTTCACAATCTGAATAACCGAATGGTTCAAATGAATGTGAAAATTTTAATAGTGGAAAGTATAATTCGAAAAATACTAAAAAAAATAATTGATTAAATTTATAATAAAATTCTCTTCCATTTAATTTTTAATTTTCTATTTCGCATCAAAATTAGAGCCGAGAAAGAGTGTTGCAAAAATTTTATTGGAATTTTGCATAAAGAATTTAACCGTTTTTCTATTTTTTTCATATTTTCTTAGTTGGCGATGATGGTCGCAAATTGTCACACCATTAATGCGCTTTTTAATAAAACCCTGTTTGCACTGACAAGCTGATATCGTGGAACATTCAAATTCCATGCTGGAAGACAAATCAGAACGACATATCCGATAATAAATCATATTCTTGCCACAACTTGCTGCATAAGTATGGAAAATGGGTCCAATTATGCCTCGTTTCGACATCTGAATTAAGTAAAATCGCTTAAATAAATATAAGATAGTAGTGAAAATAAATCGTTCTATACTAAGCCTACATGAAACGGAACGAGAAACAAAAATTTTCGCCATTTTCGCCATTAAGAATGTACCATATATCATAAACCTTTTTTCATTCTTTTCATATTCTCTTATGCTTGTTATCATATAGACAAGGTGATATCTGACAACAAACTTGTGCGTAAACTTGATGCCGTAAAGTAGAAATATAATTGTGATCAACTATGCTATTAGTGAGATTAGATTCAATTTTCCTTGTTATCACAATCTGAAGAAAGCAAAATTCATTCACATGAACAAATATTCGATTCAAACATTACATTACTACTAATCAATGTTAATAAGAGTGATAAGAATAATAAACTATAAAAACTATAACAGTCTAAATGTTAATTAGAGAAAATTAGAGAATAATTTAAAAAATTTACCAAAATAATTATCAAAAAAACCATTCTTTTTTTTGTGATAACTGAAATAGTAAACAAAATGAAATCTCAAAGCTGAACAATGAATACTGAAAATATCACAAATATTTGAATATTTGATTCGGATTATTCTTTTCGCTGAATTAATTTGATTTTTTATCAGTTTTATCGAAAAAAATAATTGTTTTTATATTCCACGAAACGATATTCTTTTTTAAATTCATTCAAATTCATCAATTGATAATTGATATTGATAATTTGATGAAAATGGCATTAAATTTTTAGATAAAAAACAATTTTCGAATAAAATATTAATTTTTTAGTTGAATAAATTGAATGAAAAAGTGGTAAAATATATACATAATATATAATATATACATAATATATATAATATATATAAATATATCCTTCACAAATCAGATAACCTGATAATCAGAAACATGCTAAATGATAAATGAGCAACAGATAACATCTGTTTGGGACATGAATAGTGCAGTTGTTAGTGGTTCGTATTCTCCGGCAGGAGTATACGAAGCCTGTCATTTAAGAGACCCAGTTGACAACTTATATCACTTCTAAGGGACTCCTCAGCAAAAATTTTAAACCATACTATAGCTGCCAATGGAACTAATTTAACTAAAAATGGTGAACGCCTAATTTAATACTTTATTTATGTAAATTAATTTAATATTTAAAAGGAGTTCAGAACATAATTCGTACTTATCTCAGTCATTAATTTATTTTCATTTTTGTGAAGCTACTACCAATGTAAATTGGCTCCTTTGCAGACATGCAAACTTTACTTGTAAGATACTTGATACTTTCTCCTTTATTCGTGTTCTTTCCTTGCGAAGAATATGGTGGTCACTGATATTTCGCCAATACCACGCTAAATGATTACAGTTTACGACATCGTAGAATCTTTTCTTATGCATATCGGAATGTTTTGATAAGACGATACTTAATTGTCTAAAAAGCCTAAAAGCCTTAAATTATCAATGCAGTCATCATTAGGCCGAATTTTGGAAGAAATTAAGAGAATAACAGATTGAGAAACTTTCTTAATTAGTTCATCCACATGATGTGAATGCAATTATTCAATAATCAGCGAGAAAATAATTTTGCAGAATTTTCATTTCCGAACTTTTTCGGGAAGAACAAGCCTAGCCTCATCTATTTTTCAATTACCTGTAGCATCATTATGGTAATTCCAATAATTTCGCTTTGATTTAAATTAATTTCTCTGCAAAAGGGGAAAATTTGACAAATAAAGTAGGACCATAAGGACCATATTTCGATAAAGTGTAGATGGTTATTCTGGTTTTCTAATTTTCCATAATCCCTTTAACGTCCCACACACCTACAGTAAAAATCTTGCCAAGTACGCCTGGAACCGAATGAATCTTCTTCCGATTCTCTCGTTAATTTCACCGTTGTCATTCGCTTCATATAAATTTGATTAAACAATGGTGCGGATTATTTGAAAAAAACATCTACAAATCATGTAAACGTTTTTGTGGCTATGATAATATTCGGAGCTCCAAACTTTTGCTTCTAAATCTATGTACAAGGCAAGTACCTTTAGATGAAAAAGAGGAATTTCCCATAATCCGCCATGCGCTTAGTTTACTAGCTGTTAAGATAAGATCCTTCCACTTGCAGATCGAAATTAAGGTAGATCCCCACCATCACTCGGATTTTACTTTAATAAAAGCTTTATTCCCATCAAAGACAAGAGCTGAACCATGATGCTAAAAATAATAATTTATTGCCCAATATTATGCCTGAATTCACTGGCTTAGCTGCAGGAATAAGATGGTGTAGTGGCAGTTGCCTAAAGGATTAATTAAGATTAACCCTTTATTGAAAATAAAGTTCGAAGAATCATGCACCAAATTTCCATGTGGAAAACAATGGTGACATATGGAAAAGATCCCCGCAGCATAACCTTTCTTAATAAAGCGGATATCTTGTAACCCAAACATTTTGAGCATGAAATATATAAATGTCAGTGCTATTTGTACCTTTCGCAAATAAGCACGAATATTGGCTCTGTTTGCGCGATTTGAAGGAGAATAAAAAGAATTAATTTAAAGGCAATCGGATTCGTCATGGAACTTTTCAATAGGATTCTTAATAACCTTTTAGATTTTAACACGAAGAGACCCCAACATTGAATGAAAATTTCAAGCATAACTGGATAACTGGAAGTGTTCAAATTTATAAAAAAAAATTTTATATATTTCGATAATCAGCTGAAATCAGTCTTTAATCTAATAACTAATTTTTATGATAATTTTATCAAATAATCGAAAATTGTTCGTTCTTATTCGACGAACGAATTGGTGTCTTCTAAACCGTAACGGTTGGCGTCAAAAGCGAGGTAGGCCAATCAAGACCTGGACTGATACGGTGAGAAAAGATTTTGAACGTATAGGTGGACCAGCAATATATGGACTTAGACGATGGAAAAAGGAATGGCTTCCATTACTGTCGACGATGGCATCAGACCGCGCCGCTTGGAAGCGTCTTACCCTTGTAGCCGTTGGAGATTTACTTATACGATTTTATCGCTTTCAGTTTTATTCCCCAGTAACTAAGCTAAGCTTACATCGTTATCAAATGGTACATTTTTCGTTTCGCATAAGTAGTTTTATCAGTCAGTCAATCAGTCAGTAATCAGTCAGTTAGAAATATCCGATTTTAAATACTTTGGATTCATCCTCGTAATTAATGTCCAAGCTTAAATGGTTTAGTGGAGACGAGTTTTTTCGCCTGGCAAACCTCTTTGGAATCGCTGTGAAATCATTAATAAAATCAACAAAATGAAATCAGCATCAAAATAAAAATTCGCATTTATCTGGTTGTAGTGATAACACAACTATACCGCTGCGAGATATGGCCAATAAGAGTGGAAGTTGATACTGTTCGACCCGACCATTCACCATTCTTGTCTGGAATTGCATGGCATTATTGCATCTATCTTCGCTCAAATACTGGAACATTAGAGTAACGAAAAATAGTGCAACAAAACAACAATAAAAATTACATTGTGGAAAGGTAAAACGATCAAATTTTTTACCTTGTAATCATCTTGTGTTATCCAAACCTCTCAATACCTCGCCAGCATCACAAACCGACATGTCCACTGATTCTTTAGCTCCACTGATTCCGCAACTTCGGATCTCATTCCGGATATCAAGACAAAGAAATGTAAATTATGCAGTGGATGGAGATCAAAAAAGCACTCAGATGCGAAGTTTCTAGCCCATCTGTAATAGACCTTTGTAGACCCATTGGCTATGCACTTCACCATGAACGAGGTGATTTTTTTGATCGACATTTCAGTGGCTCCGCACCAGAGCTGTGCAAGAAGCACATGATATGCTCTTGCATGTTCAATTTATTCGCAACAATTAATAATGTGCGAATCATTTCCTATCCGACGACGTGTGTTCTAACAAACAAAAGTCTAGCATGCTGCAGATAATAGGATTGTTAATACAGGTTTGATATTACGCTGTTGCAATCAACACAGTGGAAAATATCGTATTGCCTAATCAAATGACATCTGAAAAAGGCTCAAATGGTACTTCTTCGATCTTATCAAACGACCATACAAGAGGTGCATGCGAGTACGATTGGTTGTACATAAGGATCCCTTTACTGGGAATCGCCCTCACGGCATAACCAAACTTTTTTACACAAGTTCTTAAACTCAAAAGTGCGAGAAATGGTCCCATAGTTCGCAGATTCTCTCGTTAAGCTATTGCAGGGAAGTCTCCACTAATCAGATATTTTTCCATATCTTCATCACTAAGAGAAGAAACAAACCTCATCACAATAGCAAAATCGCAGAATTCCACGACATTCTTTGGCTTGGGTTTCAAAACAAAATTTCAAATCGTATGGATTGACAATGTGTGAAGCTAGGTACACAGCCAATACCGGAAAAATTAAACTCTTCTCGAGCACAGATGCCATCCCAAGCCATACAGTTGTCATCCTTTCCACTAACACAGGACCAGCACAATCCCAAGTATAAGTCAGAATATGATTCATGTCTACATCCCTCCAATCTCTTGATTTAGCAGCAGGCTTGAAGTCGAGACTCATATGTTCACATAATGTCTTCTCAAGACCTTCGGAAATAGAACCCATGCTCAACTTGTCTTGGATTCGGGATATGATTGTGGTTTAATTTTTGATTTGATGTTTTCCAGTGTTCCAGTGACGATCTTTTAATGAAGTATCACGCCTAACGATATGTTACATTACAAAATGATATAAACAAAAATTTCAACGAAATAAATTACGCTAAATAGATTAACAAAATTGTTAACCCACCTCCTATGGTTAAATTTGCTCCACTGGCTTACCATATTGCGCAATATGCAGAAGTTCTCTGCGACAGAACAAGAGTCGCCCCGGATTCCTGCGGGGAATCGAACCTCAGTGTCGGCGCCCACCATTGAGCAACAACCTACTGAGCCATTCCATCCTCTAACCTCAATCCACCAACCACTCATCAATAAAATCGAAATGAACTCATTGTACCCAAAAAGAAGAAAACTGCGGCTGCAGTTACTCTTTGATTGGTCCTCAATCGATTTACCATGTCATTTTTGATCACATTTAGAAACATCGTCACAAAGCACCATCCAAGCTATTTAGACAATATTTGTTACATCTCACCACAGAAAATTATGCGTGCATCGCTGTTTGCTTATTCCTTTGGTGGAAAGTATTTATCCATCGTATAGTAGTGTATTATAGCTATTTTCTTTGCGAAAGACCAGGATGAACAGCCAAGAAGGTGAACCCGTTATATATAAAATTAGGTCAAAAAAAACGGCTTGTTTCCAGGCATAACGTCAGTCATCAGTACAGTACTTAACTGAAAATCCCACCCTTCTATCACCAAATCATTTAACGTAACTTCTTTACTCCTTCCTATTCAGTGTAATCAACCCTTTCGACTGTAGAAAAATATTTCTGATACTGGACTAAAAATTCTTCCATTCCATATGTAAAAATTCAGGGAATATCTAATAATTTCACAGAAATTCCTTCAGGAATCCGATCCACTGTGTTGTTGTTGTATAGATTTTTATGCCACGCAGGACTATTATCTATCAACAATATAAATTCTTCGGCCAGCGTTTTCTTAATGATTATTTCGCTGCAAATGTTCGGATCACCCTCAAACTTGGACAATTAAACCTTTAATATAAACAATATACACAAAGCATAAGAATCTCCCCGTATGGCAAACCTAATCGGAGTGGGCGAAGTACCCGACCACGCAGGAAACAACGCAACAACGCCCACAACGACTCGAATATCCCTAGCACAATGCATTTGGCAGAAATTCTCTCTTGGGAGCTTATATTTGTTTTGGGACGGACGGAGGAGAGTTTATGTTTGTTCATCTTTAGTTCTCCAAGGCTAAAAAATATCCCCATTGCACCTCTCAATAACGAGGTACTCTACCATGAATTTGAGATATTTCTTAATCCCCTTTCTAACTCTAATCTTTCTTAAAAATCCAACATTCTTTTTGAGACGCGTTGCGGGTGCGACGCGTCTGACGCATTTAATTTGGTAATTATCTTTGTCATTCGGCGATACCATTGTTAGTATGTTTGTTAGAATGTTGACATTTTTTTTTTCTTTTTCATTACGAAATTCTTTTTCTCTCTAAGAAATTCTTTCCATTTTTTTTTCATTTTTTTTCCAAAACGTAAAACATAACTGATAATGGAAAATAAAAAATAACTGATAACTGGTAATGATAAAAACCGAAGCAATTTATAGTTTAGAACAACTGAAAAAAACTTTAATTTCGTATGCAATTGTCTGATAATAATTTAATTTTTTATAGTCGATAAATTTTGAAATTGAAAATTATTAATGAATTTAAATTTATAAAATTATTGAATGGACTGAAAAATGAAATATCACTGTTCTTTTTATTTATAATTTCTTTTTATATATATATTTTATAAAATTTCTGTTTAATTTTTTTTCGCTTTCTTTAATATTTTATTTTAAATATGTAAAAGTAAAATTATTTAAATTATTTACATTTATTTATATTTTTTAAAATAAGATTTTAAAAGTCGAATAAATTTTATTTTTAATATTTATATGTTTTAATATAGAAATAATTATTTTAACAAAAATATAATAAATAAAGAATAAAATTCAAATGAAATTATTTCAAAGCATTTTTTTTTGTTGGATGGAAGATATTATTTGGTAACAATTTACGAATTTATCAATTTTCCTTCATTAATATTTAAAATATATTTTAAAAAAATTTAGCCGAAAAGCACTGACTTTTTGCAATTTAGAAATTATCGGAAATGAGGAAAAGAGGCATTTCAGCGCAAAAATGCAACTGCGCACCGCTGCGAAATCACCACGGTTCACCTCTGGAATCGCTTAAATTTGAACTTTTGAGGATTTTGGAATGAAATTCGATAAATTTCGAAATCCTTATTTTATGTTCCGAACATTCTCTCATTTAGGATATATCAACTTTGACCTTTTCTGACCTTTTCTATTTCGGTTTTCAACTTGACCCTTGACCCTTGCTCTGCTTTCCATATGTCCTTTAGAATTTATAGAAAACAATTTCAGTGGTTGTTACGATGGTGTGCTAGTGTGGTTGCCTCCTTTATTTTCCTCTTATTCCAACAGATTCTGGTGGAGGTTATGGTTTGCATCTCGAAGAATGACTGTTTTGAAATTCTGTATTTGTTTTATCAGTTGGAATTTTGTTCACTGGCGATCCGTTTTTTCGCTTTTCCGGAAAGTGCATTTTTATTCACTTATTTTTCACTTAGGCATTTTTTTTCTAATTTTCTTTGTAATTTTAAATTTGCAAATTGATTTTTGAAAAAATAGATTCGATTTTGTAGAAAAAATATTAATAATTAATAATGTGGAAAAATCTAAAACTAAAAAAGTTTTTATTTTTTTCATTTTTCGAAAATGCTTCAGTACTTTCTAATGATTTCACTGGAATATATTTATCATTTATCACATAAAGATTTATTATCACATAAAGATTTTTATCAGCGTTATCAGTGCTTTTGATATTATCGTAATCACTAGCAATTATTCTATATAAACTTTTATTTCTTATTATAGAAATTGTTTATCGTAGATTAATTAATAAATGTGAATTAATCTTCCCTTTCATTAAACGATTTTATGATAGTTCGGACTTCTTATACAAACTTTTCAACCTTTTTGTTACCAATATGAAGTACACCAATGATAAAGATTGTTGAAGAGCCAATTTTTGAATGTCGGCGGTCTTAAAACGAAAAATTGACTGCTAATTGTTGTTAGGGGCGGGGCAAAATAGTTGTTTTGATTAGGTATCCGGTTGATGAGCGGTTGTTGTGGTGACTGGTTTGGTACGTTCGGAAGGGTTCAAGGGGTCAGTTTGTGGGTGTCCATGGAGATTATCTATTCACTTGGTATGGGAGTATACTAAAAAGTGTAGTAGTTAATGTGCAACAATTGGAAGAGGGAGGTGCGGAGGAAGGTGTTAACGTGCAATATTGTGGAGAATAGTATTATTTTTAGGAAATTATGGAGTACATTTGTCCATTATTGTTGGCAGTTTCAGGTTTAGTTTTCACTTTTTTATTTTCATGTTTTCATATTTTTTATTATATTTTATATATTAAATTTAAAAAGGATAAAATAAACAAAAAATAAATATTTGACGTTTCTCTCTTGTTTTTTGAACTCTTATCAAACAGCATTAGTTTTTAATTTGAAGAAAGTAATTCATAGCGAATTCACAACGGGCTGGGAGTTGGTTTATCTTGTTGTTATTGCACTTTTATCATTTAAAACGATTTTTTTTGATAAATAAATATTATATTTGTCGAGTGTTTTTTAAATATTCTGTTTTATTTGTTGAGTGATTTCATTCGCCAAAGGTTTATTTTTTGGAAGATTTCATATTAATTTTTCTCGAAATTATTTTTTAAAGAAGCCGATTTTTCTTACTTTTGCTAAGTTCCGCGAATCGAACTTGCGAATACTTGGTCTAACTCGAAACTAAGCTAAGTGCTGTCGGCCGTCTGACATTTTTCCTTTCTGTGTGGAATCTTTATACTTCGTTCTTCTTTTTTAGATTCTATATCAATTCAAATATTGCAATAGAAAATTTGATAAATGATGGTCGATAAAATCAATATGTCACTTGGTGAGTTAATTTTAATAAGAAATTTTTTGGATACACTTTGGCTGTAAAAAACTTCTATTAGATTAGTTAAATTTTTATTTTTTAATACTTTATTCAGTTTTCCTTTTTTATCTTTCTTTTATTGGCTTATTTCATATTGAATTTTTGAAGATGAAATTATAAAGAAAGAAAAGGAAAACGCTGGCGAAAATTTTGGTAACAATTTTAATGCAAGAAAACGCAAAAATGTAAGTTTCTTTAAAAATTATTTTTCTTATCTAGTTTTTCTAATAATTATCCATATTTTTTATTAATTTCATTCTGATATTTTTATATTTGTTTTTTAGCGCAGAAGAGTTGCAAGTAATTCTGGAATTGTGAGGAGACGAAACCGTAAAACTATTGCCAGTAATAATCAAAAAGCCGGTGTCGCTACGTTGCGTATGGTTAATAGACTCGTCAAGGTGAAGTTTCTGGCATATTCGTTTATTTTTTTTTAACTGGTAAAGGGGATTCTGCAGATATTTGAAGGAAATACATGATATATGTCATGTCTCGCATGATTTATATCATTAGAGATGGGTGATATTAGTAAATGAGAAGGTAGGTTGGCTATGGAAAATGATGCGGTGATAGAAGAGTAGATAAGATGTAATTAAAGTTAATTGAAATTAAATTGAATAGTGGCCAGCTTCTGGTTAAATTTATTTCAGTGGATGTTAGTAGAATGAGACTGTTTTGCCAAATAATCGCCTTGTTTACATAAAAATATTACTTATTTTGGCAAATGATGAAATTTTTCCAGTGGTAAAGTCTAATTATAAAAAAATAATCACCTGAGTCTTCAAGCCATAAAATTATGATATTTGGTATGAATGTATTATGTGGAGTAATTAGTGCGGCTAATCTGGAAAATTTGAAATAAGGAAAAAGTATTTAAGAATATCAGAGAGTAAAAATCTATATCATATCTCGCAGGAGAAAACGTTTCGAACCTTTAATTCTTTCGAAAATTTTTTTTTTTTGAATGAAAGAAATTAGGAAAAGAAGAAAGAAAAAGTGGGAAGAAGATTTTAATATATGGAGAGATTTCTTTCGGTAAAATTCCTTTCCTTTCGCTGCACGAAGATTCATTTTTTTGTATTTTTGAAGGCCCAAATATTTTTTTAAAGAGAACTTATTGAAGAATATTTTTTAAGAGAACTCGTTACTGGTTATATTTGTTCCTCTTGCTAGACAAATATGCTTAGGAGTCTTTTAGCTGTAAAAGTACAGGTGAATCGCTAGCATTCCCTCGTTTTTGGGCATGTTACTATCGGTGCTCTGAATTGAGCAGATTGAGCAATACCCCACTGACCTATTCCGCTTTCCTCTGCTTTTCTCCGCCGTTAGGCGTCAATGACAAAGGCTAGAGAGTAGCAGGTGAATAAAATCCATATCTAATATGAATTAAGATAGTGTAGAAGGCGACACATTTTATCCTATATTATTCATCCTATATTTCTTTGTTATATATAATTTATAATCTATTGTAATCTGTTGGTTAAGTTCTTTAAGATAAGGTGAAGTAATGAATCTAGAAAATAATTTTCGTTGGATGGGTCATTTATTGCGTTTTACCGAAATACTTGAATTAGCATTTATGACTGAATGTGAACAAGTGGATTTGCAAAATTTTTTAAATATTTTTAATTCTCAGGTTATTGCTTTTTCATTTCAGAATGCAATCAGAAATCAAACAAATCAAGCATTAATCAGTCGTGCTGCGCGAATACAACGTCGTAGCTTAGCGGTGCGTGAAATGGCCAAAAGGCCCGCAATATATGTATATATGTGTAGAAACGCAATTTTTCAATCATCTCATAGTATTCTTGACCCTTGCAATATGCAATAGAAGTGATGTCGAGCATTCTGGAATTCTTGAAGGAAAAAATATTAATATAGCACAATTGCGATAATATCAGTTTTGAAAGATGCAAGAAACTATCCATTAGTGGCAAAAATGGATACTAAAGATCTAATACATTGAGGACATTATTGATCTTCCTGCTTCTATATAAATACCAAACATTTTCATGGACAATAATCAATCTTGTAATATTGTAATTTTGAGTATCGAAAATCAGTCGAATGGTAATTCAAGGTTTTTGGGATTGAGTATCATTGAAGACTTCCATATTTAAGGCTGTCATGCTGGCGAACTTCTGCTTAAAATTTACATTCATTATTCATTAGTTATTATAGTTATTATTTGATAATTAAAGAAATTTGAAAGTTGATAAGCTTTATTTTTTTCAAATGGGAATTGAATACAGGAAATGCAGGAATGAGTTTCGCATTTATTTATTTTGCTAGGTATTGTGGCAAATATTAGTTTCATCGTGGCGTTGATGAATAGCCCTTTCAGGAAAGTAGACTCATTAGCATATCTGCAAGGCCTGCCCATTCTTCGATTATATGGAACGTGTTGTTTTGGTAGGAGGATTTTTTTTTTAGGAGAGTCGTCGATCACGTCTTGCTGGTCGACTGTTTGGTGTCAACCAGCGATCAAAAGTCATTGGGAGACGAGGTGCTGGGCGAGCGTTTACTCGACGAACGGTTCGTTTCTCTTCTTTTTTCTTCTTTTTTCTTTTTTCTAGGTTTTACGAGTTTTTAACGACATACTAAACATTTCATTAGAATACCATACGTAATTTTTTTAGAATACCATACGCCGTGGTCGTGGAATCGCAAGACTGGGGCAGTTAGTCAGTGATAGTTCGCCTGTTGTTCATTAGTATGTTTTTCTCAAGTGTTTTTTTTACATTTGGCGGTTTAATTTAAAGTAACAACCTGTAGTTAGCAGCCTTGTTTTAGACATAAATAAATATTTACAGCACTCAGTCTCCAGAATTAGTTGAAACTATTGCCAAACGTCCTATGCAGCGCGTTAACGCACAAAAAAATATTCGGAAAAGAGTGTTCGTACCAAGACGACGCCGTTTAGTTGTTGTTGATGAAGTGGTAAAAAAATTTTTATGCGTAAATTTCTAAATATACTTTATCAGTATCAGCGATATTATCTATTACACATTTTCCAAATATGTTTTGATATAGTCAACATTTTTATTTATTCATTGGACTGTCTCTTCATTCAAAATCTTCTCTGACCGTATCAGTCTAGGTTTTGATTTGTCGATTGGCTTTTAACACCAACCTGAGGATTTAGCTAGTAGCGAGATGTTAGTTCTTGTGATGAGGTGAAGGATATGGCGTAACCAACGTGGCCGACGTTCTATATTTGAACACAGATAATATATGAGCAAAATGAACAAAGATGCAATCATTTGAATATTAGAGTGAAACTTTGTCCGGGTATGAAAAATGTACTTTGGGCAAGAGCAGTCAAAGGCAAATAGATAGCTTCCAAATTTCCATTATCATTGGGCAAATTTCGGAACCTTATATTAGGATTATGCGTACGAGCCAGGCAGATGTGAATTTTCTCTTTGAAATTGCTCTCAAAGAGGCTTCATCAGACGAAAGAAGGCACTTCTGAGTGGATTTATTCGAGCTGAAATTTAATCTTTTCGCATAGCCATTATGGTTGAACCGAAGTATTTAAATTCTAGCACATCTCGAATTTAAATTGTGATGTTATCAGTATTTTAGTATGTAAGGAAAAAAGTTTTTTTCGTTTTATTTATATTGATGTGGAATTTTTCGTAGTTTCTACCACATTATCAGCACCAGAGTTGTGGATATTAACTGTTCACAGCTAAAATATTAGGATTGTATATTCAATCCACTCTATAGTAAAGTTGAAAATTATGTGGAAGAGGACCGTGATGCAAATGATAGAAAAGTTCTGTGCTAAATAGTTGCACAAAAACTGTTGCATATTTCAAAAAGATGTGCCATTTCCTCATACACTCAGACTTGCGTTGATGTAAAGCGATGAAAAGTTCCATGTAGTTATGTGTCTTCTGCAGTGATGTAAAGCATATATTGGTGGCATAAAGTACACCTCCCTCATTTTCGAAGTGAAGATGCTTTCTACTGGTACAGCTGATTCCAACGCCATATTTGTCGGCCATAGCATATAGCGGATGTCCTCGCATTCTGCGTGCGTATTCCAATCTTCCGCGATCCCGATTACATCGCGTTTTTGTGAAGTGCTAGATAATTAAGCTTGGTGTAGAATTTCTCTTTATCCAGGTCATCCGTGCATCAGCATTTTATAAATGCTGATGACGGAGATATTGTAAAATTTGCCTGTAAAGTGGACATAGACACAAACGACCATTTATTAATAGGATTCCACACGATTAAAGCCGATTATGCTGCATTTCTGGTGTCGCTAGCATTTTATTTTGCCTGTATTGTTTATTTAAATATGCATTTGCATTTTTTTTACAATTTCCTTCCTTATAAAAATAATGTGGCCCGTTTTAGCCTATTCAAAGTTTCCGTACTGTTCAAAGTAAAGGATTTGGAAATCGTTTTACTCGTGTGAATCCAAATGCAGAAAGAATGAAGGCTGCATTGGGAATCGGGACTCGACGTTGGGTAAAATTTTCAGTTTTATCTTATAGTAGCAAAGTTTTTATTCATATGTAGTGTGGAAAAATTATCATTTTAAAATTATTTTTAAAATTATTTTTGAAGAAAAATTGCAGGTAGAAGCAGATTCTTTTGGATCAACGAACTCATTTCTTGATCGATTGCAGCCTACTGTCGTGCAAAGACGTCGATTTTGAAATACTATGTAAAATGAATGAATGCAGAAAATTGATAAGATTCTTTTTTATACATGTTTATTTTGCCCCATTAATTTTTGCCTGTATTTTTATTCTCGTTGATTTTTATTTGATGGCGAAATGTATGTGAACGTATGAAGATTAAATGGTTATTACCATTTTATCATCTGTCAGTTCATCGCACGCTGAATTGAATTATCTTTGTTTTAAACAGCGGTTATTAGGTGGTAAATCACGATCTATTTTAGCATTAAATCAAGTCTATTTCATTAATAGCAATTAATATGATATAAGATGTTTATGCGTGGTGTAGCACAATTATATTAATTGGAAGGTCAGAGGTTGACCTTGGGTTGTCGCGCATTGATCTTATCGATTGGTTGTGCGACGCTAGCTCTGCGTGCCCTTTGACCTTGGAGATGTTTGTAATTTTGGCGCTTTTTTAGTCCAAACTGATTTAGGCGTATTACAATTAGCGTTTATGGGGTTACATATAGTTGCAGCAAATAGTCGAGGTGAGCTCAAAATTATTGTTGCGCACTTTAGGTAATTTTAGTTGAGAGTAGAACGTATAGCGTATATTAGCGCGTATACATATATGCACTCTTCTGTTTTCAATAGATTATATTGTTAGAGGAATATTTACCAAAATTTCCGCGGATTATTCCCTGCAAAGAATCACGCACGAATTATATGATGTGACGTGTAAAGGTGAAGGGTTGTTGAGGTAAACTGTAAATGTGGTTAAAGTAAGTGATTGTATCAGCTAAAGTGGAATGCGAGTGGCTGCTGCGGATCGGCGTAGGCACAGAGGCACATGGCAGAGCGTTGTTTGGAAAGACGGCGGAACCACTGAAAGTGGGTGTGGTGAGTGGGGAGCGCTTTTAGAAGAGAAGCTTTAGACACGAGACCGAGCTCATAAAAGTAAAGTTCAAATGTGTAAAGTGAGATTGAGAATAGCGCGGGGTCACGCGGGGTCGCCAGCGTATCATGGAACTCTGAGCGTTGATAATTTTTGTGTTGTCTCTTTCGTCGTCACGTCGTTCGTTTATCAATAGCACCAAAAACCAAATAACCAACCGTTAAGTGTCCATTGTTCGTTGCCTTATTGTCTTGCACAAATTATTATTTTTGAAAGCGATTTGCAAATTGTTTTTCAATTTTTTAATTTCATACCATTTCATCTCTAAAATCTCTTCACACCACGTGCTATTTCCGTAAACAATGTTTTGCGAAATTAAAAAGGACAACGAAGAACTGATAGAATCACAGAAAAAGAATGGGTGAGGAAGCGGGAGGGTCCAGCAGTGTTGAAAGAAGTCCAACAACTCTTAGAAATAGTTTTGAAGAGCAGAGATGTCGAAGAAAAAGAGTAATAGAGAAAGTGTGTGTTAGGAAGTAAGAGGGGTGAGATAGTGTGTGAAATCGAGAGAGAGTAACAGAAAAAACGTTAATAATATGACGTTTGTTGCGATGCGGTTGTATTTTGGTCATAACCGAATCATTTGTTTGTGAGAGGAAGCCGATCCAGGGGGCTGAGTTGTGTGACCTTTAAACCCAGCGGTACTTGAAATAGGTTAGGTTTTGGTCCTTTCCATTTTTGGATTGTTGTTTGCAGTTTTCTGCAGTTTTGCAGTTTCTCACTTTTTCACATTTTTCCAGTTTGATTACCATTCTACTGGATAGTTAGTTCTTTGGAACTTGAAGCAGCTTGAAGTTATAAGGATGAAATATAAAATCGGTGTCCTGAGGGAAGCGTTCAAGCTTCACGCACCATCCGCGAAAATTTTATTCCCTTTTAGGTAATCCATAAGTTTTAATTCGCTAGTGAAGACGTGTAACGCTATTGTCTACATTGATTCGCATCGATTGAGCTATTCGTGCATTAATTTCACGTATATTTCACGTATTTTCATTTCATTCCCTCTTCTGCACTTTTTTGCTGTAATTTACCTTAGTTCCTATCTGATTTGATTTGATTACGTCTGTGCTTATTTACACGTTATTTCCAGTGGATCAGCTGATAATCAGCTGATCCATTTCCATTAATTGATTGATAATTATCATTTGGCGTGGAATTCAAGTAAAAACGTGTGTTTAACGTTTATTTTTTTTATATATATTATTTTTTATATATACAGTTTCGATGAATTTAAAAAAATCCAACGAGAAATGGTGGGTGTTAACAGGTAAAATAAATTACGAATAATTTTCGTCGAAATATTTATTTGTCATCCGTTCGTTTATATTGATTGCATAAATGATTGAAATTTTATCAGTGATGAATGATTTGGCACAATTTACTATGTGTCGGCCGATTATTCAATAAAGATGTGTTAAATCTAATGCGGTTTAATATGTAATATTTATCATTTTATCATTTTATGCATTGAAGAGAACTCAACATTTTTATATTTCCATTCGGTGCCTTTTTCTTTAAGGACCTCCCCCCCATTACTGATTGGACTCGTTCTGGTGATTTGGACTCGTTCTGGTGACTGGACAAATGTGCCAGGGGATCCCTTAATGATAAAGGTAAAAGTGAGTCGCCAGCACCATCTGACGATATATTTTGAACAAATTTACTACTGCCAGGAGTAGAAACGCAGCATTGGTGTTCAGATTGAGCAACAACCCACTGAGCCATTCTACTTTCACTTGTTTTCCCCGCCAAGAGGCACTGCCACCCGATGAAGTGTGATGTTTGCGGGATTCGAATTTAAGCCTCGATTCTCGGTGGAAATTGTTTTGCCAATGAGCCAATGACTAATGGGGTGCTGTCCTTTTATCAAAGAATCATTCTAAAATTGGTTCTTCAGTACCATCCAAATTTCACTTTTAATAAAGCTCACCATGTCTTACTTTTAATCGAAGCAAAATACTGCCGTAACTTTCGTATTAAACAATATGAATTGAAATTATTAGAAATTAGGTTCGAAAAATTTCAGGTTTATTCTAGCAAAACGAATTCATGCGAAAAATGAAAATGATAAATGCCATTTGTAATAAGCACGAATAACACATTTATTTGTTAATAACATTTTGCGGTAATTTTTTTTTTTTTATAGAACTAAACAAAAGTCGAAGAGTGGGCCAAAGAGGATTAAAGTGGGCGAATGTGGCTCGTGAATGATAACCAACAGTTGGCTGAATTTTCATGGAATACTGATCCTAAGGTTTTCTAAAATTGCGTTAAAATTTTTTTCAATTCTTTTTTTGCCATCTTTCATCTCTTTTTTTGCTTCTTTTCTCTAGCAGTTCAGATTTTTGATCAGCTGTCAGAAATTTTGTAGAAAATGGATAGTTCGAGTAGTAAATATGCTTCGATTAAGAGCCAAACCATCACGTTCTGATTTCTGCCGCAAGACAGCGAGAGCTGTTATTAAAAGGGTTATTCCCTAATCGTAGTAAAGATCCATCTTTCCTATTTTTAGATGATCGTCTGGCGATCAGATTTCATTCTGATAGTACCCTCCAGTGCAGAAACAGCGAATGCTGACTGAAAATAAAACAAGATTTATGCTCACGGGTGGCACTTAATTAGCCTTTAAAAAATCCATTAATTTTCGTGTTTTCAATGGAAGACCTTTTTTTCCGTGGCTATAGAATTCTTTAAACGGAGTAAGAAAGGAGCTCTTACCATTTCCGGTTACGCTAGCCCTCCTAGTTGTTAGTACGATTGGAAATTTTTTTTAGAGAATCATTTTGCGATAGAACATTTGGGTCACCAGCATCGCATCGCATCCTTGCCTCTCAATATTTTTGAGTTACCATCCTATCCATTCAGCTAAATCCTATTTATGTTTTGCTCTAAAAATTTTATACATAGCTTCAGTTCATTTTTGCTTAAATTTTTTATTTTTTGTTAGTTGGGAATTCTTTTTGAGAATTTTTGGGAAAAAATTTTTGGGAAAAATTTAAATGAAATATAATGCAAAATTTTTGTTTTCGACTTTTTTTGTAGTATTTTTTGTATATTTTTTGTAGATTGTTTATCCGATTGGCTTTTTTTGTATCGAGAAATGCGTTTCTGTAACAAGCCATTCACCATGATTTACTGTTTTTCTTTTTTTTTAGAATTCCATTTTACGATTTTTTTAATTTTTTATCTATCGATGCTGCTTTGAATTTTTTTATATGAGGAAGAATTCGAACCCGGTAATTTTTTCATTAGATTAATTTATCAATTAGAATTTTGTTTTGATTTTTTAATTTTAATTTTTTTAGGTTTTTTTCATTGGGAAGTTAACTTTTATTTGTGATTTCAAAAAAATAAAAGTTAAGAAGTACCATATGTTATCTGATGTTTTAGTTATTATCTGAAAGTAATATTATTCATAATACTCAATAATTTTTCATCAAAACAGTTTATAAAATTTTTGAATTTCTTTATATTCATTCTACTTTTAGAGTTATCCGCTCTCATGGAGCAACTTGGCAGAGTCCGGTGTTACAGATCAAGAAGACAGATATAATTCAGGTTACCCTTCTCAACAGCACCAGAATACCAACGCAGATCGTTGGTACGATCCGTCCGGCCGATCAATTAGTAATAGCCTTTTTTCATATTATTTCATCAATTATGAATGTAATTAAATGAATTTTTAATTTTAATATCAAATTACTTTTGGTTTCTTTCTTAGATAATCTTGAAATACTGGGATCGACGAATAATCAGGATTTGCGAACGAATGAAGCATTAGAGATATCGCATTGGCCATTGCAAGGCAATCTATTTACAACCACAGAAACCAATTATAACCCGATGATGGCTTCGAGTAAGTTATATCGGCAAATATTAGATTTTCATTGAAAAATGTACTATTTAAGATATTATAAATTGTTTTGTTCATTTTCCTATATTTTCTCTTTTGTTCAAAAATTTTCACTAACAAAGTTTTCACCATTCAGCTCAATCCTATTTATGTTTGCTCTAAAAATTATACATAGCTTCATGAATTATGTTGAATAAAGATCTGTTTATCTGAAAAGATTTATTTCTAAAATGCTCAAATGTGGAAAATTTATTTTGCTGCAGATTTGGCGGGTCACATGACATACGGTTTCGGTAACGGAATATGGAGCGACAATTCAGGTTTTTTTCTTTTTAATTACTTTTTAACTTTTACTTTAATTACTTTTAATAACTTTTAATCAACTTTTATCAACTTTTAATTACTTTAGTTTAATTTATGAATTATTGTATTTTATATCGGCAATCCTTTAGGACCTATAGGATTAGCACCAGGATATCCTCGACATTCCACTCGTTTTCCTTCATTAAAAATAAAAAAGTTTAAGATTCTTTTTCTTAATAAAAAAATTAGTCAATCATATTTAAAATGATGTTTTCTTTGTATATAATAAGTATCGATAAATATTGTTATGGTATTTTAGATCGACAAAGACAATACAACCCTTTAGGACCTATAGGATTAGCACCAGGACATCCTCGACATTCCACTCCTTTCAGTTCTCCTGCACCAAATATCTGGCCAGTTAACGAGGAAGCTCAAGTTGCCGCTAGTACATCGCGCTTATCTACGCATCCATACCATCAGCAGTCTGCCGTGATTAATGCAAACATGGCGTCAAGTGGTGGTATGTTTTCTGAAAATCCCACGCGCGATTCATATTTTAATTCTTCCCAATATTATATATCGACTCACCCATATTTAAATAATCCCACAATGTCGAGAGCTTCTTTAAATATTTCCCGAATGCGGAATTCATTTGATCAAAGAAATTATGGTAAGTTGGCTTATTTGAAATTTGACATGCATTTAGGTATTAAATATATGATCCGCTGTTTTATTCGCAGATTCATATTTGATACTTGCTTTTGTATTATTTAAAAATTTTTATATATAGTTTGGCCGCAGAATCTAATGAGTGGTACAACATTGCTTCAAGGGCCACCACCGCCACCTTTGCCACCTCAACATCAACCGCCACCACCTCGCTATAATTTATCCAATTTTGATGTGTCTGTATCAAGTATTTGGAATAATCGGTCAGTTGGTACAACAGTGCAAGCTGCTCCGCCAACACCAACACCTGCTCCATTGCCATATAGCGGGAATCGTTTGCAAATATGGAATGGTAGCAGTTCGCTGAATATGGGATATGGCCATCCACCCCCTTCCATCGATTTTCATGTAATGATTTCAATGATGGTTATTTTTAGTTCATTGTCAGTTTTGAATAATAGGATTTACCTAAATTTTTCTTAGGCACCACAGATTCCACTTATATCTGAACGTTTACCAACGAATCCATCTGGCAATAATATCTCCAGAGTCATTTCATTTCCTAACAATAATCAGTATACTCCTTTTACATCAGAATCGATTTCGGATGCAGCAGTTCGTAAACGGGAGGTAAATTTATTTGTACAAGAATTAACCGTCAAGAGTAACGAAAAAAGTGCGTTACTTCTATTTGTAATTCATCTTATATTATCTTTTTTTTTACTTATTGTTGAATTAAAGGATGATATGATATGGAAGGATCCGAATGGAGATGTTCGCAAATGGCAACGAGATACGGGTACAACTTGTTGGGGAGATCCTAACAGTTCTGAAAGACAAGGTTAATGCTGTATGCTAAAATTTTTGATTAGAATTGCTATAAAATTACTATAAACTGGTATAAAATTCGTGAAGTTTTTATTTAAATAATTATTAATAATTGATAATGGCATATTTCTCACACTTCTCTTCATTTATTTAGGTTGTAATATCCAACGTTGGTCTATTCCACCAGAGGAAGAATATGAACTTATTGAACGGACAGACGTCGCGCAAGGAATAGATTCCGATTTCTATCGATTAGCACTTAACGGAAGCAGTATCGGACGAACGTTTCGTTGTAATGGGCTGGAAGACGTTAATCGATTAACAAATGATGATAAAAAAGAATCATTAAAAAGTATTTTTATCAAATAGTCTCATAGATTTGATTTATTTTGTTTTTCTATTTCATTTCAAATATTAGTTAATGAGTTATTAGAACAGGAATAAGTGATTTCTTAAGGACGTGTGGTCGTATTAGGGTGGGGTGCTAATCCGACTCCGCTTCCTTCGAAAAGATCCATTAATGCAGCTGTGAAAGCAGTGGTTGCAACTTCTTTTGTAACTGGCCCAGTGAAAGGATGGCAAACGAATCCATCACACCATGAAGGTTTTTTTTTGAATTAAATTGATGATGGTAATAACTATTTTTTCATTTAATGTAAGGCTGCTTATTATCTCAATAGTTTCCAATCTTTTGAGGTTTCAATTCGTGTTGGGATGATATTCAACAAAACAGAAAAGTAAATAGCGATGTTCCGAATTCTCCGAACGAAAAAACTAAAATACGTGTTCTATCAAATGTTATTCAAGATCTTAATGCACAATGTTTTATTAATGGATCATCCGGCTCATCTTTGCCAATTCCCCAAATTTCACGTTTGTTGCAAACTGCAATCATCAGGGGTGTGTTATATTCACTTCTCAATTTCATTTTTTTCATTTTACTTTTAATGAATATTTATTCATTTGAAGAAAGTAGAAAGGATCGTATTCTGGATATATATGAAAAAAAGATTCTATTGTTTTTAAAAGGTTAAAATGATAAAAATTATCTATTGTGACATTTATAAATTTTCAGATTATGTTAGCTGGTCAATATTAAGTAGGCGTTTGTCATCTGAATCGCTTCTTTTAATTAATTTAATATTATTTCGACTTTATTTGTTGGAGCAACATGAACGTAGTTTAAATGATTTGGTTAATGAGGTTAAAAATACTCATTTTGTCTTTTATTTTAAATATTCTTATCAGATTCTTCTGGCTTCATGCCATCTCAAATGGTTGATTGTTTGAAAGGTATATTTCCTATGCTTTAAGGTCATATGTGAATTTTTTTCAGAGTTGTGGTGAGGCAGCAAATACTGCTCCATCAGTAAGAGCGTTAATGAATTGTCAACAACGAACAGAATATGATCGATTGATGATGGAAATTGCATCTCTTAATACGGATATATTAAGTTATCGCGATAAGCTTCGTCATATAAATGGCGATTTTGACAGAAAGGTTTTCATTAGTTTTTTCTTTGCAGACTATATTTTTTCATTTAATACATCGTCATTAGAAAATCAGTTCAAAGAATGCTCCACTTTTTTCTTGTGTATTTTCTCAATACATTTACCCTTTGTCTTTTTTTCTGCTTTTTTTACAAATTTTTTTAGAGATCCAAGTGAAGACGAACTTTGTTCTATTGTGAGAGGTGTGTTAAACACAGAATTGGTTTCGCATATTTTTTCAAAATTATTTTGAATAGATTTTTTTAAAACATTTTTTTTAAAAATTATTTTTAATAGATTTTTTTCAATAATGGAGATTGAGGATTTTTTTCTTAATGCAAGTTTTTTTTCAATAGTCATTTAGATTAATAATGAATTATTAATTAATAGTTTTCTAGTCTTCATTGATACTGAATGATGTTGTTTCGACCACATTACCACGTCTTGATGGCTCATTATTTGATTTGCCACTTCAGATCGACCAGCAAAAGACTACATTTTCCGTTTTTTAAAAGCCTGCTTTTCTTTTTATTATTCATTCAATTTTTGATCTTATATTTGAGATTTGAGATTTTAAAATTTATAAGGATTCCACAAAAAGTATATTTAAAATAATTTGACCAAAATCAGAAACAATTTTGTTCACTTATTGTTAAAACTATGCTTTATTGCTTGTTGCCTCCTTCCTTCATTAGATATTGTTTTAATTATCGAGGTCAGCAATCTTATTCGTTCATGATCTTTTTTTTATTAAATATCTTTGTGTGTGCTCTGCTCTGCTTATTAATTTTTTAAACAAATAATTTCTTTCCTCGTTAGGTTCCCTGCAAAAAAAATTAATTTGTATTTTGATACTATCGTCTATTGAGCTTGAAATTTTTCACAAAAAATTATCCATTTTGCAAATCTTTCTTATGTCTTTCTTTTCTTTTATTTATAACGTATTTTAAGGTGTATATTAATTTTTTTTAAGAAATTCTCCCGAATTGTATATTTCAATAGCCTTCGACGTCTTAGGCCTAAAATCATAGGTTATAAAATATAATTGGCATGCTAACAGAAATTTAAAATCGCTTGTACAAGAAATAGATGGAATTTTTCATTATTTTTCGAACGATACGATAAATATGGAAAAAGAAAGATTAAGAAAATAATAAAATGGAAAATAATTTTTCTTCTCGAAATATTAGAGATTTTTAAAGAGATTTTTTGTAAACGGTCGTTCAAAAATAAGCGCTTCTTTTCATAAGTATATAGCAGTATTTATCAAACAATTCGTTATTGTATTTGCTCAATCTAACTGCTTTTTTTGATTATTTTCTAGCCAATGGCTGGCTATCTCATATGTAAAATACTTTTCATTGTGCTGTTCATCTTTTTTAATTTTATTATTATTATTTTTTTGCGGAATACCTGTTCCTAATTGTAATAATACATTCGCTGAGTACTCTCACTTATTGTCGTCATTTAACGATTTTAGTCATTTTTTCTCCTTCCTTATGGAGTCGATCTTTTACGGAATTTTTAGCAGATAGTATCTTAAATTTCTTCTTTCATTTATTTTATAGTATTAGCACATCGATTTATGGTTTTCCTTCTTTCAATTTTCTCAAGGGATCGATTCGATTGTAGTAATGATTTTTAAAATCGCTATTGCCTATTTTGCAGTTGATAATTGTTATTGCATACGATGATTGGTGATGGGTTCTTTAAAAAAGAGCAAATGATTATTCGATATTCGTTTTGAGTCCTCAAGGATCCATTTGGTTTTTATTATTTTTAAAAATCCTTTCATCCTTTTTATGGATATTTTTGAATAGAAAAGCTATGCTTTAGGATATTTTTAAAATGAATTAAATGAGGAATATTTGATTGTTTTCATGGGTTCTAGCGCGATTCAGCTGCAAAATAGCGAGCAATCACGGTATAATTTACCTCTGCAACCTGCTGATAAGCTTTGTATATAATATGATATGTATAATCGATGTTGAGGTGAGTCATTTGCTTAAACCTGTTATGTGCATGGCTGATCGTATTCTTCCAAGCTATTTTGGATCTATGGAACTTTATTATTTTAGAGAGGAGATTTTTGACTCGCATCAACGGTTTGCATTAAAATCCGATCATAACTTATAGATCTGCAAGTTTTGATGTTATTCGTTTGAGCATGCTTCCTTTTTTTTAATCTTGCCATAGTCTTTGTTATTTTGTGCTTAACTATTGTGACTAACCTAGAAGTAGAAAAGGCGATTTTACTTTACTTTTATTCTAAAATATTCATTACGTATGATCATTAACATAATGTATATCGTACAGTGAAGTTTTAGCTCAATGTTGTGAAGAATTTATTTAGATTGCTTCTCATCTTATCAGTTATCACCTAACAATCATAAAGTTTTATTGCATTCATCGTTTTCGTTTTATTTTTCATCACTTTTCATATTTGCTTGCTTCACTTGCAATTTTTAAAAAATAAAACTTCGACTTTAAATTTCTGGAAAACTAAAGAAAATCGATTTCATTTGCGATTTTCATTCGTTTTAAAGTTTTCCATTAATCAATGGCCATTCTAGCATTTTGGGAAATATCAGAATTTTTCTGCAAAAATTTTTTTCATATATTACAGGTTTGTACGACTCGGTCGAACCTTTATTTAAAAAATACATATATATTCTCGTATTGTTAAGAAAAACTTTCTTTGTTTTGTTGTCGACTGTTTAAATTTTTTCATATGGTAATTTCCCCGTTGGATGTGGAACGAAATGTTCGTCCCAAATTTGTCGGAAATGTTCAATGCGGTGATCACTTAGTTATCACTGGTGAGCATCTACGAGTAATTTTTTTTTTAGGTTTTTTCCGGTTCTTGCGAAATTAAAGCCTTAAAATCACGTATTAATTGGTAACATAATTTATTCATTTTTTTCTCCTCCTTAACAGTTGAATAGTAATTGACTAGTAATAATTTAATTTTAGTTTTTGCCATAAGGTTAGTCTTAAATTTCTTTCGAATCAGCTGATAAATTATTCTAATTGAAAAAGTTATCGAGAACAATGCGAGATATATATTAAATTAAGGCATTTTTTTTGATACGAATCGGGTAAAAAAAATTTTGAGATTTTACCAAAAATGCTTTTCATTTCAGTTATAAAAAATTAAAATATTTATGCGCCATTGAATTATGTAAACGGAAATATTTTTTGTCGCATTATTATTAGTTAAGCTTAATTTTTTGTTTTCTCACCGGCAAATTTTATTTTTTTTTCGATAAAAAAATTTGTGAAAGAAGCACGAAAACGAACAGCTCAAATGTCGTCGTTAATGTCACCAATGTCGATTAGTTCCCCAGTTTATTTAAATGATCTCTTAGTGGGAAAAAATAAAATGCTGGTGAAATCCTTTCTAATCAATCGCCATCGTTTAGTTCTTTTTTTTCATTATGCATATAGTTTTTTAGATTTAAAAAAAAATGGACTATAGAAAAAAGTGTGCATGTGAAAAATCGCTGAGATAGATTTTTGATTGAACCTAATGATGCATGTTTGCATGCATGCAACTTTCATAGGATTTTTTTTTGCATGTTTGTGCTTCCGTCATAAATTTTTATTATTTTTTTAAAATATAAAAGCACGTGAAAACGCGTATTTGGGCATATAACACGGTCTTTTTTTATTTTTTTAGGAGATCCCCACTCTTCATGTATTGGTTTCTTTCTAAAAATTTGCAGTTTGCCTTTAAGTGCTGTTTGGTCACTTCATTTCATTAATATATTCATTTATTCACGAAAGCATTCTCGGCTTATTCCATTCATTTCAACGGATTCATTCATTAGCGATTCCCTTTAACGGTTCCAATAACGTAACAGTATTTGAAGAAAAAGCCATTTGCAATACTGATGAGAAGCAAAATAAAAATTCCACCTTTTTTGTTGACATTCAGGTACCACTTGTATGTGGATTTCTTTTCATTGCTCGCTAACCTCAGGTAGCTCAGTTTCTATGAGCTCATTTATTCGACTTTTTAGTTAATGTTTTTTCACGTATCCATTTAACCTGTTGTCCTTTTGTCATCATCAAGCTTTCATGTTGGTCCTACATCCTTCGTTTAAACTCGAAGAAAGGGCTATTTTGATAACTATTGAAAAGATTTAGAAAAATGAATCAGTCTTATCAGTCTCGTAGCTGTCTAGTCTTGTCATTACCATTATAATTATCATTATTATTGTACCATCCGTCTACTTTCTTCCATTTTCCTTCGCACAACTCTTCGCCTAACCTCTATTTGAGGAATTTTCTTTTCCCCTCTCACATTACCAAAATCTGTGTATACTGGTATTATTTTTTTTATTCACTGTGATGTATTTCTCATTTTTTGCTGTGTTCAATATACAACATCAAATGCAGATTTTTGGAGTTTTTTGCTTCAATTTTTTTCATAACATTAAACGGGAAGCGCTTTAATTATAATTAAATAATATTATGTTCTGCACTCTTAAATTTTATGCGGGTTTGTAGGCGCCATTTTGTTTGCCAACTTTTCTGTTGTTTTTCGTTTTTATCATAGGCATTCATGTTAGTCCCTCCGACGAATGGTTAGCCGACCATCAAATATTCGCATAAATTTATGAGGAATGAACAAAATTGCTTTGTTTTACTTGTGCCCTCAGGGCATCATATAACCGTTGTCAGGAGACTGAGTTTCTCCAAAATTTATCATTATGGTATATGACTCAGATATCATAATTATTGTCAATGACAACCTCTTGATTGTCATGATCTTATCATTTAGATATGATTGTTTCAGTCTATTTTTGTCGACAAAACTGCATTATTATATATATATTTTTTAGCCTTTCAATCGCTATACCACTTGTCTAAACCATTTAAATACACATTTTTGTCCGTTAATCCGTTACTGATAATAAAAGAAGCACGAATAAAAATAATCGTGGAAAGAGGAGGAAAATTTAAATGAAATTGATTCTTTCATATATTGGTGCATTTAAATGGGTAGTTATTTTCTTCTGAAAGCTGTGTTTGTTGCCTTTATCGCAGATATTCTTATTTTATGCTATACAAGATAAACCTTTGAAACTTTTCTTGTACAACACTTAACATCGCTACTTACTGTTGCTGGTTTTCATTGTTTGACTATTTGTATGGTGAATTTCCGCCGGAAATCCTTAGTTGTCCTTGAGGGGCAGAATTACCGGTGATTTCCTAAACAAGCCAGCTTTTCTAATAACATGATTTGTTCTGAAGAGAGTTTGCGGTCGAATCGTCGTGCTTGAATTGGTGAGCAGTACATCACATCACTCCACCTATAGTTTTGTACTTTTTATTGCGTTTTCTTCATGTAATCTTGATTTGAATATTTTTTTATTTCAATTTCGCAGAAGATACATAAAGAATTAATTGCTTCATCGTGGTTCTAACAGATAAAATAAATCACATCACAGATTTGGTTCGATTCGTTCCGCTGGTTTTTTCGGACCAAATTTTGTCAGCCCGGTTCATTCATATGAATTATTGCAATTATGATAAAAAAAAATATTTTAAGCAGTTTAACGATTAGAAATGTTGAAATCGAAAAGAAAGAAAAAAAACTCAGAAATAACTTTGAAAGTAAAACGCTGCGGTATATAACTTTTAAATTGCTGCCCAAAATAAAAATACAACTTTTGCTGATAAATTGATAAGGAAAAGTCGAAGTTTTGAGGTGAATTTAAGTTAAACAACAGTGGTGATTTAAATTGAGAAGGGCAAACGAAAAGAAAAGGCGAATCGGCAAATGTTGTTGATTAATTGGAATTTCGTAAAAATTTTCCATTCGATGGTCGTTGATAAAAAATTTTTCGTTTAATAAATTTCTCTTTTCTAATGAGAAAATATTGCTTTTCTTTTATTTTTGAAAAATTTCTATTTCCAAAATGAAAATATCGTTTTGCTTTATTTGCCTTATTTCGCATATTTGCAGATAATTTTTTAAGGTTTTCCTTGCTTTAAATCGAATTAAGCAAAGCGGTCGAGTCGATAGGCATTGTCGTATTGAGAGGCAAACATTTCGCTAAGTACCTTCGGTAAAACCCGCCATTCTGGTCGCTACTGACCGCCCACCCTTTTATTTTCGCTAAGTACCTTCGGTAAAACCCGCCATTCTGATCGCTACTAATGACCCATCTTTTTGTTGTCGCTATGTTGATTCTCTGGCAAAAATTTCCAACCGTATTTGCAGTGAGTGCAGTTAACAATAATTAAGAAACCGGTCACTTAGCCTCGCTTAGATTATTTTCTTTGCACCAATGATTCTTAATTTTCTCTGCCATAGGACAATCTTTCCAGCATATTTCAGAATAAATTCCCCCTCCCCCCTCCCCTTATGCTCCCTCATAATGTGTACATTTGCAAAAACTGCTTTTCAGTCTGCTCTGTGGCAACTTGAACAATGGTGATTTTGTGCTAACAATTCGACTATCTTTAAATGAATTTTTCTTTAATTTCGAAATTTAAAATTTCTGATTTTAAAATAATAAAGTTGAAATTCACAAATTCACAATGAATATAAAAGAAAAGAAAATAGAATCAAAAATTAAACGTTCAATTATATTGATTTCCGTAAATCAGCTGATTAAATCGATAATGCTTTTTGATTTGAATACTTTTCGTAATAAACTAAATATTGAATAATGATAATAACAATAATTGATGGCAAATAATAATGATAATGATAATATCAATAATTAATAATATTATCAATTATAATAATTAATTATAAAATCAATTATAATAATAATAAAAATAATTAATGATATTATTAATATTTATATTTATATTTATAAAAAATCATTAATAATAATGGTGATAATAGTGACAAATTTTTTTATTCGTAAATTACTGGGACAAGTTATAAATTAAAGTGATTTTTACTTTAATTATATTTAATTTTAAGAATGATAATGATAAGCATTGATAAATATTGTATTTCATTTCATATTGTCTGTGCCATTTTTTTACTGATTTCTTTCTTCCTTTGCACGATTTTTATTTATTTTTTTGGCATTAATTATCACGGCCTACTTGATAATTTTTAAATGACAAATGATAATAACAATAGTGATGCGTGCTTTTATGTGAACACTATCTTTAGAGATAAGATAGGATGGTTGAGTGGCATTCGCTTTGACTAAAGTCTAGCCATCATAGCCATCAAGCCGTCACCTTAACTGGAACTTCTTATTAAAGGTGGAATTAGCGTAATACTGGAGACTTGCCTGTACTTCTGTAATTAAATAACTCTCTAATGACAAAATTTGTCCAGTTGGATAAGCCAGTGGAACCAGCCTAACTGATAATGGTGAGTTGTAATGAGAGAAAAAAATGACCGCTGAAGTGGATGTGATAAGAAATATGTCCGTAGCAAATAATACATAATATATAGTTATTTGCCGTACGCATTGAATGCATTGGTTTCTAAAATTTTTTATATAAAAATATAAATAAATTATTAAAATAAAGTGGTAAATAAGTGATAAGTGATACCCAACATTCTTAAAGCCCACTCCATAGGCTATTAATTTGGTTCGAAATTTCTTTGCTAGGGAACTATTTGGCGGTAGACATGCAGGTGAGTCGCCAGCCAGCACTGTCAATGATTTTATTATAATTTTATGATTTTATACGGTAAGTTTTGTTTTCCTTTACATTATCGCTTTTTTATTTCTCAACTATATTTATATTTTTTAATATATTTAAAATAATTTCGGATTGTTTTATTTTATTTTATTTCGAATATTTATCATTCTATCATTTTATTTAATTAAATTAATAATTAATTAATTAAAATTGATTTTAGAATAAAAATTTATTTTGCAAGGATTTCGATTTTTCTTAATTTTAGTTGGCGAATTGCATTGAAATTAATTTTTTTTATTAATTATTGTTTAATTATTTTTAAAGTAATCTTTAAAAAAATTTTAGCGAAGTATTTGAATTTCTCGAAAAATGACAATTGCTGCATTTCGTTTTTCACGTTTTATAAATGTTGTTAGACATTTGAGTGGAGCAAGTGAGAAAAATTATTTTCATGAAAACTGAAACAAAGTTTATCGTTTCAATTTGCTCAAAAAAGTGCATTTATTTTATAAGAAAATGAAATAACATTAGTTGTTTGAGGGGGTTGCAGGGGGGATGGGAGGGCAGAGGGGGACTGATTTGTATTTTCGAATGACTCTGTAGTGAAGGAGTGTTATTTTGATAGTAAATCGTATCAGTCAAATGATAAGCTATTGGCTGAAAAATCGAAATCGTTCATTCGATTCATCAATTAGCTCTCTAGTTCATCTTTTAGCAGATCGCACCATTTCTTGTTGGCTTCGTTCCACGGGAAATTTTGCTTTAGATTTTTCAATATTAATTCAATATGTAATATTAATATTATTATTACTTCTATATTATAATTTTAGTTGCAAGCAAGCCTCGCGCTGAACACAATCATTTGCCTCCGCCACCAATCACGCAATTAAGCGAAGCGGAACTTGTTCTTAAGAAGACTGGTAGGTCTTATGAATAAACTTTTTCTTATTTTGCCTTACTCAGAATCCACTGCTAGCATTTTTTCCATCTTTCTGCATTTTTGCATTTATCCTCGAATTTTCGACTTTTAATCTTTTTCGTAATTTTTCAATTTTTTGCTCCATTTTTATAGAATTTCTCGGTAAAATATCTATAGTTTAGTGAAAAAATTCGGTGATGATGTGATAAAGCCGCTCGTGGCGAAGATGGACGCAGATTCGTCAATGGATCAAAAAGTCATTGATGGTTTATTTCATAATGGTTTTATGGGTATCGAGGTGCCACATGATTATGACGGACCCGGTGCAACTTTTTTTGACGCTATTCTCATTGTAGAGGAACTGGCGAAGGTTGTTTTTTCGAAGAAGATTTAGATTAATTGATTAGGTTGATTTAAATCATTTCTTTTATCTTCTTGCATAGTCTCACTGATAAAAAAATGGAACGAGATTTATGAATTAAAATTAATTTCAGGTTGATCCTTCTGTATCTGTTCTTTGCGATGTTCACAACACTCTTGTTGTACCACTAATTTTACAATATGGAACTGATAGACAAAAATCGAAATATCTACCGAGGGTACATAAAGATTGGGTTGGCTTATTTTCTACTTTATTTTATTTTACTATCAAAAAAAAAATCGCCTTTATGGATAATTTTATAGAATTTGCGTCTAAGAATTAAGATTTTCTTAGGGGATTCATCTTAAATTTTTTTTTATCTCTCATTTCTCTTAATTTGTTTCATAATTCTTTAATAAGTTTCTTCATGACCGTGAAAATCTTGTAAAGTTTAAGATAAGTTAAACTTTTCACCGAAAATGGTGCTCCAAATGCTCCTAAAGGTAATTTTAAAAGCTTAATGTTCCAGATTGGTTCATTTTGCCTTTCGGAACCAAATTCTGGTTCTGATGCATTCGCCATGAAATCGGTTGCTGTTCGTGATGGTGATGATTACGTTATTACGGGTAATAAAAGTTGGATTACAAATTCTCAAGAAGCCAGTTTTTTTCTAGTAAATTCTTTTTCATTTCTGATTAATTTGTTAGCAAACTTTATCATTTTTTTTCTTGGCTTTTAGAAATTTGTTATTTTTTTTGAGGTATTTGCGAATGCAGATATTGCTAAAGGATATAAGGGCATCACAGCTTTTCTTGTTGATCGAAACGAAAAAGGTGTTGAAGTTGGGCGCAAAGAAGATAAATTGGGAATTCGTGCAAGTAGTACATGCCCAATACATTTTGACAGCGTTCGAGTTCATAAGGACATGGTACTCGGTGAAGTTGGAAAAGGTCTAATAACATTTTCGCTATTTCATTTCTTTTTTTCATAAAGCTGTTATCGTTTTACCCATTAACTCATATTTTTGCCATCAGAAATACCAATAGGAATGATCAAAAAAAATGATAAGAAATTTTAGAAAATATTTTAAACAAACAACTTGAAGGATATAAAATGGCTATAGAATGCCTTAATGAAGGACGAATTGGTATTGGTGCTCAAATGATTGGCCTTTCTCAAGGCTGTTTCGACGCCACAATACCATATCTTCAAGAACGAAAACAATTCGGCAAGCGGATCATAGACTTTCAGGTTTTCGCATAAAACCATTTATTTTGAAATTTAGCGTGAAAGTAGAGAAAGTTCAGCCGAAAAAAACTATTTAGACTATTTTTAGAAACCAATTACGAAATTTCAGGAGCCAATTCAATCATGGATTTTTTTTATTTCCAGACCTGAATCAAGGATATTATTTGCAATGAATTTCGATTTCATGGAACTTTTTAATATAGAGATCATGAAATTCTTGCGATCTGATGTGTTACAAAACTGATTTATAGGGAATCCAACATCAGATTTCGGAAATAGCGACTCAGATTGAAGCAGGTCGATTATTGGTTTATAATGCAACTCGAATGAAAGAACAAGGAATTGATTTCATCAAGGTTATATTCCCCGCTTCCCTTAAAAAAAAAAAATTTCACTGCTAAATTTTCAGTGCGTTCTTTTTCTTCCATTTGGCTAGCTTCATTGGCCATTGGTTTCTAAATTTCTTGCTTCTAAGCTATGCTTGAAAGTGTTCTAAAATCACTCCTTTTTCCACCATCTAAGCTGAGCCATCTAATTTTTCGAAATCTTCCTTGACATAAAAGTCAGATGTCGGCTGCTCCTCCTTTTATTCATGCTATTCATCCATCACAAGATTTAGCAGGTAGCAAGATGCAATATAGCAATACCTGTAATGGGCGATATAATTAATGGTGCGGATAGTATATGAGAAGACGATGGCAACTGTGGGAGAGACTTAGTCCTCAGACTTAGTGAATATGCAAAATGCAAAAAATTGATAAAATGGATTCTATGGATTTCTTTTTGAGACTAATCTTGCAGCGATTCTAAAGTGGTTTTATCAACGAATAGAAAGCTGAGATTTCACGGTTGGCCATTAGACATGAGATTGGAACCGAAATAATGTAAAGTCTGATTTTTTTGAGCGGACGAATTTTTAAATTTTTATAAATTGTGTGATCTTATCAATTTTCGCTGTTGTTCTCACAGCCAGTATAGTTTCTCTGTACTTAATTTAAAATAATTTCGTAAGGTAGGTGCTAGCGAAAAGGACAATACTCGGCATCGTGCTCAAGCTCTGTGATGCTATAGGTTGATTCATACACCTCTTGACTATCGGGAAGTCAACCCAATCCGATTTGTCGCTTAGTTGAAACAAATTATGCTAATCGTAAAATTTTGAATTTGTTCTCTCAGAGTGAATATATTGTACGTGGTTCAGAATTTTTACTTCAAAAACTCTTTTAAGTTTGAGACATTTGCGTGGCAAATGAGATACATTTTGTTTTACGTATTTTTTTTTATTAATTATTATTATTAATTATTATTATACATATGGCTTGGACCTCGGGAAAAGATTTTAGGCAAAGTAGTCCAAAGATTAAAAAATATTATATTAAAATATTAAAAAATATATATTAGAAAATATTCATATTATAATATTCTAGAAAATATTCATTATATTTTACATAATAATAATATTCATTGGCCTTGAGAATATGATTCTATGAAAATATGCAAAAGGCCTTCGAGTTGGATTGCTTGCAAAATATTTTGATATATTTATATATTTATATTTATTTAGTGTTATTTAGAAATGGAATGTTTAGATAGTTGTAATTTGAAATGATTCCTTTTTAATAAAATTATAAAAAATTCAAAAATTATAATTCTAAATTCTATTAATTTTTAAGGAAGCAGCAATGGCAAAGTGGTATAGTTCTGTGGTAGCAGCAAATACAACAGCCAAATGCATTGAATGGATGGGAGGTGTTGGTTTTACGAAGCAATTACCTGTTGAAAAATTCTATCGAGATTGCAAAATCGGTAAGTTACGTATTCTAACTTATAATTGCTTGAATGAAACTTAACCTCATAGAGATTAAAAAACATATATTTTTCACCGAAGGAGGTTATCACTTATATCATATCACTTTAGTAATCAGTGGAACCATCCAAATCGAATCAAAGATAGTGACTGCTCTTAAGGAGGGGAAAGAGAGGATGAAGGGAAATTTCCTAAAAAATTTTGCTTACATTCCTTTATTTATTTATTTATTAAACATTTATTTACTAAAGATTTAATGCATTTTGTTTTAGCAAGAAAAATTTTGCTGGAAAATTTGAATATTTTAACAAATTTAGGTGCAATTTATGAAGGAACATCAAATATTCAACTGAATACAATCGCAAAATTAATCGACATTGATTACAAACATCATTGAAATTACCTTTTAAACTGAGATATATATATATATATATATATATATTTTACCATTTTATTAAATATTTCCCGGTTTTTCTTCATTTTTTACGACATTCCTAGCCATTTATTGCATTATTCATTGGTGCACTATAGTTGAGTGGTGCTTAGACTATCTTTTCGAGTGTTATGGTTTAGCCTTTGCAAATGGCCGAAAACTGGAAAATCATTGAAAAATCCGCGTGGTGATGTAGTGTAATGTACTATATATCTATTTCCAAATAAGATTTGCTGTAGAATTTTTCTTATTCTACTAATATGAATAGAAAAAATCTAAGAATTCGACTCGATGATTTTTTCGTTCGTACCATTAAATTATTGGAATAATTACTACCGAACAACTTAGCGGTATCTTTAGTTATTTCTTTAAAAAGTATTAAGAGAAAATTTGAAATTTGCAAGAAGAAGTTAAAAACTTGATTTCAGTATCTGTTTATGTGCCTATATTCAATCGAATCGAATAATTTCACTTTTTTTTGAGTTATTTCTTTGCTTTTTTGTATTTTATATCGGTGTCAATGGGGATAGAATGGTTCAGTGGGTTGTTGCACAATTCGGAGCGCCGATGCTGAGGTTCGATTCCCCGCAGAAGTAAACCTGTACAGAAATGCTGGCTACTCATCTGTATTTCTATCGCCAAGGGATCTATGTTTCTATCTCTCTGGCATATTACCCAATGCGACAAGCCAGTGGAGCGAGTTTAACCAGTAGTGGTGAGGACTTTAAAAAAAATATCGATATCACTAATCTCCTTTTATTATTCGTTATATTAATGCAAGCACACGGCGCTTAACGCTCCACTTTGCACGTTTGCAAGTAAATAAATCTTAATATTCATGTCAATTCAAATAGTACCAATTACCAATATTTAAGTTATATATATTTTATTGTTTTTTATCGTTGAAATACTTTCAAAATTTTACTACTTTAAATTACTATTTTAAATTGAAAGAAATCGTTTTTATATTTATTTTATTTATTTTATAGCGCAATAAAATTGTTTTCTGAACTTATTTATTTATTTGAATGTGAATAATTTTTCAAAGATATTTAAAGGAAAGAAGAAACGAAATAAAACAATAAATAAAAATTCTTTTCCTATAAACCTTTTTTTCCAATGGAAAAAATTTTAATTTCTTTGAGTTATTTGAATATAAAAAATTCAGAAGGCAAATTTAAGACTTAAATATAGAAAAATACTTATCGAAGGCATATAGGAATAGGAGAAACGTGTCGATAGATTGCAATAATTATAGTTGCAACAATAATATTTTCCACTTGGAATCGGATTTGCCTTATCATCGCATAAGCCGCGATAATCACATCCTTTTTCGATCTAAATTCACCAAATGATGAAGTGATATGATAAGAGAATCGAACTTAACAGTTTTAAAATTTATTTATTTATTATTATCATTTTGAAAGAAATTATTATTATTATTATTTTAGCAATTTTGCCAATTTAATAAATCAATTTATGCGATTTTAATAGCGAATGAAATTATTTATTAACCACAGTGCCAAGTTCGTAATTTCTGCACCAAAGTGTGCTACAATTTATGGTTTGCGGTGGATTTGTTGAATTATAGCAAATAAGTGCGAAATTTTTCGAAGGCAAAATAAAAATAGAAAAGAAAAAAATATTGTTGAAGTGCATAAATGAGCTGAAAAATTTCATTGAATAGCAAGTAAAAATTCAACGAAATAATGAAATGGACGATTTTTTTATAAAAGATTTATAGAAATAAATTTATAGAAATAAGTGAAATTTGTTGATAACCATGGAAATGAATAAATAAATTCTAAATTGAACGAATCGATGAAAATTTTATCGCCGAAACAATTAATATAAATATATATTTAATGTGTACTTGAACGACTCAAAATTCATTTAATAAAAATTTTTGAAGAAAGAAAATAAATCGAAATAATCGAAACTCAACGTTGAGTGGTGTTGAGTTCGACTCGTTCCCAAATAAGCTTATCATTGATAGCAAAATCGTCGAGAAACGTTGGTACTTCCCTCTTCATAAATGACTGCCCAGGTCAAAGTACTTTATCTAAATCGTCCTGAGTAGATAGCCAGTTGAGTCAGATGAATTTTATTGGATAACTGGATATTGCTAAAAGAAAAGCTTAGTCTGGTTCCACTGAAGAAGGTGAATTTTCTAATAAAAATGAAATCTAAATAATACTGGTAGACTCAGCTGCAAGCAAGCTTTATTACTTCTCACCATAACAATTATTGGAATCAACCAAGTCGAAAATGGCGAATTAGAAGAGATTAAAAAACATTGCTCACTTTCTATAAAAATATTTTTAGAAATTTTTAAAATATATAATTTTTAATTCATGATTTTTTTAATTTTTAATTTTAATAATTTTTGAAATATATAATTTTATAAAAACTAAAAATTGCCAATAAAAATAAATGCCCACATGAAGAACGAAGAGAAGATGAAGTTGAAGGAATGAATCAGAAATTTTTCTCTCCGTTTACTTAGACCATTTTTGTTTAATCACTTAAGGGATTATAAAATGCACTTTACTAAAATCATAAAAATGAATCAAATAAATGAATATTTCATAATAATTTTCAATTTTTTCTTTTTTTTCTAAGGAAAAACGATTAGTTTTATGGAATTTTTTGTTTATTTTATATGGCATTTTGAATAATATAAAATTCATACTTTTTTAGATGAAAATTTCGAAAAAATTTTGATTTTTATTATTTTTATTATTTAGCTTAGCGATCTTTTAACTAAAAATTAAATTCATATCACATATAATTTGTTACTAAATTATTTTAATTGCAATGCGACAAGTACCAATGATATAAGCGATTATGCCATTCTTATTGTAAGCCATAATAAATGTATGCATAAAATTAATGAACGAAGATCTATAGGATTTAGCCTGTGTTCCCGACCTCAAGAGTTCAAACTTTGCCTCTAACACAATAATTCGAGTGTGCTGTTGAAAATTCAACTGTATATCCATTCCCAAATTCCCAAATGCCTCTCTAGTAAAATAATTTCAGCCTATTAATAACCAGTGGAACGAGACTAACGAGAGAAATTGTGAATTTGTAAATTAAATTAATGTAATATTTATAAATATTATATTAATATTTATAAATATTTATGATTTATAAAATGAAAAAATGAAATGACTTTGGCAATAAAAATTAAATAAAATTTCAAATATTTAATTCTAAAAATAGATGAAATAAATTTAGTTACTTAAGTAATTCTTTAATTTTATGGATATTCATGAAAATTTAATGAAAAGAATTTTTTTCAGTGAAAAAAAATGAAAATAAAATGTATATTTCGTATTTGTGATTCATTCCTTTTAAGTCAAACAACATTTTAAACCGATTTTCTCGACAATATTATTTGCAAAAAACTAACGATTCCAGTACGTCTTGTGAATAAGTGGAAGTGGGTGATCGATAGGATTAGTGGACATGAAGGTGGGATGCTTCGAGACAATATCCGCTTCTTCTTCCGACATTGCTGGCTTTGGCTCGCTCCAGTGGGCAAATAGGAATTTCCAATATAGGCCCATTGGTCGCTGGAACGCCTATCCGTTCAAAATCTCCTATCGAGTTGAGGTCTTAATTTTTCTGGGATGGACGATGGAAAATATAGTCGAGCCAGCGTGGACTTTAAGAGTGGATAAACCTTCTTGCACCGTTGATGAATTTATTTAGTGCAATCCTCTTAGTTTCTGGTATATATGACGAAAAGAATTTCTGCATTGATTTGGAAACCAATTTTCATTGCCGGTACCCGGCCTGTCGCAATTCCCTTTAACTGTCAGAAACAAAAGAATATTATGCTCTGGACTATTCTATAGAGTAAACCTCTTGAATGTCGGCAAGCGTTGCCTGTAAGCCAATCTATCGTATATACTTGTAGGGAGAAGAAATAACCCTGACGCATACGTGTACGTATTTCAAATGAAAATGCACGTCAGTTCCCCATTATAAACACACTTAAGCTCGTGTGAGGGGAAAAAGCTTTGATAAATGTGATTATTTTAACAATGTATGATTGATATGATTGATTCGTATAATTTGCCAAAAGGCGCCACATAGACGAACGAGTTTTAAGGGTCGACGAAATGAAAACGACGATGTTCCATGAAAATGATTAGAACAGTCACGCCTATGCCCAAATCAGAGCAGGTTTGGGGCATATTCTGCTGTTACATGGTGCTATGAATTAGGAAAATGGAGTCCGTCCCATTCCAGTCCTACAAAAATATAGTAATTGTTTTCTCGATGGTAGCATTATCCTTTTTCGAAATTAAAAGCAGAATTACCTTGTTCCAATCACTTACTCTTTTTCCTTCAGTGGATATAATTTTTGTAAGTACATTGTGAAATATGGGAAGAATTTGAAGGGTTCAGCTCGAAGACCATTTTCTTCGAGAGTATCATTAACCTTAAGCTTCTAAATTACTATTGTTTGGTTCCAGATGTGTTCCAGTTATATTTGGAATGCTGGATAGTCAACCGTATATAAATTTAAATTCAAAGAATCCTCTTAATGGAAAAAACGGTCATCGATAGCCTTTTAGGTATTTCTCTCCTTATCTCGTTCATTTCATTAGCCATTTTCGAATTCGCAAAGGCGGAATAATTTTCTAAGATCGCCCTACTCGTGCTATTTTCATTTTATGACCATATTGTTCCAGTTTCGTTATTGTTGCGAGTCCGAGAAACTGCCAATTAGCATCTTCTGGCATTCACACTCTGGTAGTTAGATAGGTGAATCGTATCTTAAGAGCTTCAGTTCACCTTCTTTCAATATATTCTAAGGCGCATTTAGCTGACTCCAGGAGGTAGGATTTCAAATGGGACCAGCATTCATCATGTAGATGCGCTAATATTATTGGAGTTCTTTAGGTTCAACTTGAATCCGCTGAATCCTCTAGCCGATGAAGTCAAAAAAT